TATTGTATAAATGTTTTAAGTAGCATGTTATCCACGCAAGATTGTTTAAACGCGAGAACGTAGTTCGAGCGTTTAATATTCATAAGTGGATAAAAGGCAATTAAAACACGAGTACAATACAACGTTTTATCCATAATCGCATAACAATCATATTTGTGAAGTCAGAATTATTGGAATTTAATAAAAAATATTCACACGACTTGATATTTCTTACTAGTACCTATACTCAATAAAACGTGGTAGGTTTTCTTATACCTACTGGTTGCTATGGTACAGGGTGATTCACTATATTTTGACCCCCCTTTAACTTTTTTGTTTTGAGAGTTATAAAATAATGTTAAATATAAAAGTTGCACGAGTTTTTATTAATTTTTCGAAAATGATAGTAGAAAAACAAATGAAGTTCAAACAAAATGGCCGCGGATGTTAACTTTGTTAACTTAAATGGAACACCCTGTATATTTTTACATATTTAGATAGAACGTTCCCTATCGAGCATAGTCACGTAGGGTTTGTTGGGTCCATCGGTAACAATAAGCGAGATATTATTAAAAAACGAAAAGAAGGTTTTTTATTAAGAAAATAAGACATCTTATAATTTTTAAACCTTTTTCAGGCATTTCTGCCTTTTTCCAATTACGTAAGGATTTACAGNCCACCTAAGTGGTGAATCTACAAATATACAGCCCGATCATGGACACTCAAAAATCATAACACGGAAAACTTACGTACTAAATATCAGTCCAAGAGCAAAATTCATAACTCTACGTCAAATGTATTTAGAGGAAATGTGATTCCTGTTGTATCTCGAAATGGAATTATTTCCAGACATTTGTTAGGTCTTATTTTGACGACTCAAATTCAAATTTTAGTTTTTCCAATTGATAAAACACGCTATTTTTGAAATTTTGTTTAAGAAAAAAATTTTTTCGAAATATGAATTAAACGATATACGGGGTGTCCCTAATTGCATACGCCGATTTTTGTTTGGTGTGAATACTTTAAAGAAAAAAGTTCTTATAAACACAGATCGTAGAACGCTTTGTTTTCGAGATTTCGACTGTGAATATTTCGAAAATTAGATATTTTATTTAATTTCACTTAAACAAATACTTTTGGAGCTATTTTCGATTTATCCGACTATGTCTGAGACTTATTTTAAATTTAAAAGAATAATAATTAAAAACTGACTCGCCTTTGCAATGGAAAACATTTTTTTCTTAGATACACGAATTAAATTCACTTATCTAATTTACAAAATATTCAGTGACGTAAAAATGTTGGGGTTCTTATTGACGATATCTCTATCAGTATTTCCGCAACTGGTTTGACAGAATTGTGTGTCAACTCGGCGAATTTTTTTGTCCAAAACCGCACCATTATCGCAAGTTTCATTAATCTACGTCAAACATTTTAAAAGATGTTTAGATAAATATGACCTATATTTTTTTATTATAAATTCCAGTGATTCCACCGCTGTCTATTTCGATTTTCTACTTTGAGGTGTTTTATCATCAAATAAGGTTTGGCTTATGCAATTCGGAACACCCTGTATGTGTCTGAATTTAAAAATAGGTCCTGTAGATAAAGGGTTGTTTCTTTCTTTAAAAGTAGGTATTCGTAGTAGTATTCGAAATCAAAGAATATATACGCATTGTATTCGATTTTGATTAAATGATTATAATTAATTTATATTAATTTAATGCCCTTATAATTATTATCGAACTAAACTCTTACACTACACAAAACAAATATAAAAAAATAATGAACTACGAAGGCATGTCTAATGTTGTTGTGGGATTTCCAACCATTCCTAACTTCGGAAATTGTATAGTTGCAAACTAAAATCTGAGTCTGAACTAGTTTTATAGTTTTGTTGTATATTTTGCTCGAATTACGCGCACATTGCTTGGTTCACATTTTAACATTAATAGAATTATAATCTGTAACTTCCCCGTGTAGTTAATTTTATGTTATGGATATGGAAATAACAACATAGTTACTGTCCCATATCCTATAGATTCCATATGAGGTGATTCGAATCAATGAATTGTCCTCGCAGTAAATCGCGTTAAAAACTTCACAGGAGGTCTGGCTGGAAAATAATAAATTTGCTGTAAACCATAGTCCAGAGGTCACATAAATTACTCAACAGTGATACCACCCACATGGCAATAAAAGAATAAAGTAGTCGCGTTAAGTAAAAGGACAAGTTTCGCACATTGACGAGGCGTATTGAATAGACGCATCAATGAACTGCCTTTATAGTAGGAGTGCATAAAAATGGAATAAATTTTCCACGCTGGACTTTATGAAAGGACCAGCGTGAATTGACCAGTTCCCTGTTTTCGATTGAAGAATTTTTGTAATAAAATACTGGGCGTTGCTTAAGGCTGATGGCACTTTGTTGAATAAGAAATTATATTCTTGCACCATTCCATCACAATGTATGATTAAATGTGTCGTTTTTCATCTTTCAGTTGGATATCTACAAGATTTTGTATTTTCCATTTTTGAAAAGATATAACAACTGCGAATAGAATAAGCAATTTGTAGTTGCGGGTGTACCTGGTACGACTACAAAAAAAATGGTTTACGTGATTTATGATTTGGTTAATACATTCGTTTTAATATAATAGTTACTTATTGTGTAAGTGTTTTAAGTAGCATTTTATCCACGCAAGAATGTTTAAACGCGAGGACGTAGATCGAGCGATTAATATTCTTAAGTAGATAGAAGACAATTAAAACACGAATGGAATTATACAATAATATTTGTGAAGTCAGAATTATTGGAATTTAATAAAAAAATATTCACACGACTTGATATTTCTTACTAGTACCTATACTCAATAAAACGTGGTAGGTTTTCTTATACCTACTGGTTGCTATGGTACGTTGTTTAGTATCAATTAAGTATTTAATAAACAGTTCTATCTGAATTTGGTAAAAATGCAAGAAAGTAATTGTGTTCCTGGGGCTGTTTTTGAAGAAGCTCAAGAAGCAATTTTCCATTTATTGCCAGCGAAATCTAGGATCTAGAGAACATTACGAAAAAGTGTTCGCCGAATTTAACGAATGGAGGGAAAAACGGTGAGTAATGACAATAAATGAAAAAGTAATGCTATCGTATTTTTTAAATTTGATGAAAGAATATGCAATTTCATCTATGTGGTCGAAGTATTTGATGTTGAAGGCTACTATAAAGGTCTACAAAAATATAGATGTTGGAAAATATAATAAGCTTACTGCTTATTTGAAGACTGAATCGAGAAGATACAAAGAAAAAAAGCTGCAGTATTGGAAAGAGCACATACATATTGAAGAATTTTTTACTAATGCTTCCAATATGTAATGATTAAGGTAATATTAACTTTGAACTATTTTAGGTTGCACTAATAATGGGGATTTCTGGTGCCTGTCGATGCTGCGAATTCACAAATTTGAAAATTAGTGACGTTCACGACGTTGGCAGTTATCTACATGTTGCAATACCTGATACCAATACGGGCATTTCAAGAAAATTTACAATTATAGAAGAAGGATTTTGCGTGAATGCTGTTGAAATATGCAGAAAATATATTTTTAAGATACATCAATCAAAAATGTACTTCTCAGCCTGTTGGAATCTTCGAGCATATAGTCCTAGAGGCAGCCTTCAGTGATGAGAAAGCGCGACTGGTGTGCGAGAGAGAAAGGAGAATAAAAGGACATGCTATCTCTCTCGCTCCGCGAGCTAATTGGTCGGGGCTTAGGTGCAGGACGATCACTGGCATGGAGGAGAGCACGCACCGACCAATCCAGCTCGCGGAGCGAGAGAGATAGCATGTCCTTTTATTTCCTTCCTCTCTCGCACACCAATCGCGCTTTCTCAGCACTGATGGCTGCCTCTAGGAGTATATGCTCGAAGGTTGGAATCAACACAATGCATCCTCAATAGTTGCTTCATTCCTGAATATCGCAAATCCAGAAGCATATACTGGCCATTGTATGAGGCGCACTTCACCAACTTTATTGGCCAATAAAGCAACCATCAAACGGCATGGTGGATGGAAGAGCTCCTCTGTAGCAGAAAGTTATGTTGAGGAGTCTATATCTAAAAGACTTGATATTGCAAGGAAAATCCAAAGAGCTGTTCCTTACCAAAAGAGGCATTCGTAACTTGTGCAAATTCTTCACAAACTTCGGCAGATGTTATGCGTTCTGAAAATGATGGCAACAATGCTACAAGGGTTGTTATTAACGGAAAGGTAGTTAAAGGTGATAAAACAAAAAAGAAAATGTCTATATTATAAATGTTAATGTTAATAAGTAAATAAATTAAATTAGATTTATTATAGGTTTATAACTTTTTCATTATTCTACTAGTGAAATAAGATTACTTTATTCCATTAGTGATAAAATATCATTATAGAAGGTTCATATGTGTGGATAAAAGTCCAATTATAAGGTTGATAAAATAATAAATATGAGATTTTGTTAATAAAATCTATATTACTATGAATCATATTGAGTACCACGGCAATCAATATGTAGTATTTGTAACATTAGTTTTTTTTTATTAATCCTATTTGTAATTAAACAGGTGTCTCGTTAAGAATATGATACTGCTTAAGGAGACTGACATTGACATATTACTTCGTTTTGATGTAGTGAGTGTGAAAGTCAAAAAGCGATATTTGTGTAAAACCGTCATGAGTATACGTAAAACATCCTCAGAAATAAAAAATTTGACCTTTCCAAGTTCATTTTTAATTTGAACACCCTATATTTCGGAAACCATTATGACAAACTTAAAAAGCGCCTTACTAACTTGTAAGAAAATAAAATCGATATCGCTAATTATCTATCAACTAACTTGGAAAGTGGATACGTTACTATGGAAATAAAACGCTTATTTCTATGGCAACACAACAAAAACTATGTCGCATTTAATATATTTGTCACCGACACCACTGTCACATTTTAAATTACTAATTATTTAAATAGCGATGAGCAAAATGTCTTCTTCGCTGCCTTTAGTTTCGGACCACTCGAAGGAAAAATTACAAGACGTGCCGATCAAAGTGCTGGAAATGACTAATCTGAAGATGCTTTTCCTTGAAGGAAATTTTTTGTATAAATTGCCTGAAGATTTCTTCTGGAAACTGCCAAAGCTAGTGTGGCTCGACTTGAGGAACAACCAGTTAGATTCAATACCGAAAAGTATCGCCCACCACGAGTACCTTGAGAATTTACTGTTAACGAACAATAATTTAAAAAAATTACCCAACGAATTAGGTTAGTATATATGTTCATTAAATCAAATAAAAATGTGGCAATAAATGCAATGTACGTAATGTATTTTTCATATATTAGACTATCATTCATAATAATTTATTAGTACAAGTACTATATAATTTACTAATACACAATTGTATTGGTATTTACTAGGCTTCAATGACTGTACAGTCATTGAAGCTGAATATCAACTGTAACCTCCTAATTCATTGAAACTGCATGGATTTGCATGAAAATTTAGAATAAGGGTCATCTTAAGCTCAAGTTCAAAAGTGACATAAGCCCAATTGAGCTTTTCGTTTTTTTAGGGGTAAAAACTACCCCCAAATTCAAAAAAATTGAAAAAATTAAGTTTTAAGCTTTTTATTGATAAACATCTTGTTCAAGCACAAAGATTAGATAATGTTCCTTGTTCTCAAACATGTTTTATGATATATTTGATCATTTCGACCCTTTATTTAACTCTTAAAATCTACTCCTATGCAAAAAATAATGATAAAAAATTACTTTTTAAAGATTTGGAATTATTAAATCGTGCAATTATTTAAAATAAAAGTTACCTTATAGCTAATAAAAGATTTTTTCCCCTTTAACCTCTAAAAACTACCCCTGTATTGACAAAAATGATAAAAAATTACTTTTTAAAAGCTTGGAATGTTTTAACGGTGCAATTATTTAAAATAAAAATTTCCTCATTGCTTATGAAAGAATAACACTTTTCAACCATTATAAATCACCCCTGTGCTAAAAAATGATAAAAAAATACGTTTTAAATCTTGGAATGCTATAATTGTGCAATAATTTAAAATAAAAATTTCCTTATATTGTTTATGAAAGAATATTTTACTTTTGCCATTTTCAACTCTTATAAACTACCCTTTTACCAATATTAATGTAAAATATTTTTATTATAATCGATTTTTAAATATAATCAATCATAAAAAAATTGCTACGCTGCATATAAATAATCACACTAAATTTTTTTACTTATTTTATTTGTATAATATAATGTATAACATATAAAAATGAGAAATCCTATTTTGCTCCGAAAAAATGTCATTGGTTTTTTTACCATAACTCGGTTAATTTTGAAGCTATAGTATCCTACAAAAAAGCATTTTAAAGATAATTTCAAGAGCTGTAAGATCGTTTGCATATAAAACCTTTTAAGTCCTTCGTTTTTTAAAGGGAAAGGCTCGAAGGGCTCGAGACAGGTCGTTTTTTCACTAAAATGGATAATTCAAGCGGCGATATCTCCTTTATTTTCTATGCTATAGGAATAAAAAAAAGCAAAATATTTGTTGAAAAAAAAGGTACATTTTTGTTGTCTATCATTTTGTCACGTATCTATCATAGTTTCAAAGTTATTATATAAATAAGGCAATTTTTTTTTGAATAAAATATGTTTTCAAATATTCCTGTACATTATTAAAAAAATAAGCATTCTAAAATGGTCTAACTTCAGGATCGTATGAAAAACACTAAAACAAAACTAATTAAAGGGTCTACGATTAATTTCAATTCTGATGGAAATGGTACAGCGTCTTCTGCTCATTTTTTCTTAAAAAATATGAGCAACCCATCTGTTTTTAACGATAACTTCTTCAATTTTGCTCTAATTAACTTTTATAAGTGCTCATTTTGAAGGTCTTTTTGAGTACTACAAAAAACTCCAGGAGCGTTATACACGTAAAATTAATCCTTTTTCCGTTATTTGACGTTGAATACATCGATTCGAGTATTCCCAACAAAACAAGTCCCCTTCCACTAACCATATTTCGCTTTGTATAGGACGTACAACACTTTTTAACGATTTTCTTTGTTTATTTATAGCTACATTTTTGTTCATTACACTTTTTTTAATAAAATGCGTAGTTTTTGAGTTATTCGCGAAAAGTACTTTGAAAAAGTGGTTTTTTTCACTCAAATTCCTCTCTCAAAACTCAAAGTTTTCAATCGTGAATAACTAAAAAACTATTGATTTCTCGAAAAAATTCTTCGAATATTTTTTGCTCAAAATATTTGACAAATTTCAAGTCGATCGGTTCAGTTTCAAAGAATTCGGAGGTGAAAAGCTTCAATGACTGTACTAGTTTACATTTTTAATGTTGCTTTTAAAATAGTAATTTCCCCACTTAGATAACTCAGTCGCTGAAGACAGGCAGCCTGTGCGCAAATAAATTTCAGTCTTTGCAGCCTCTATCCCTCCAATCTATTTGGATTTACGTTATTGTGTATTGTTTCTATTCCGTTTCATGTCCAGCTCTAACAAAAATTACAATTTTTTTTAATGCTCTCTTTATAATTTGCAATTTAGAATGGCTCAAGTAGATGAAATGTTGATTTTATACAAAGCTTACAAATACGTGTATTTTAAAAATTGAAAATTGGTTCAAGCATTCAAAATACGATGCTGCTCAAAGTAGAATACACACTTTCTGTAGAATTAAAAAAACGCTATAAGAAACATTGCCTGTTCACTGGGTACATTTCGTACAAATATTGAATGATAAGTTTGCTACTCGGTTTGCTTCAGCGTCAACTGAAAGTCAGAGATTTGACAAACAATGGATTCTCAAACTTTGCGTAGAAATGAATCAAATATTCATTTTGTCTGTCAATAAATCAAAATATTTTTTTCATTATATACCTATGAATTGTTAATAATATAATATTACCCGCTTATTTCTAGATAAATTTCATTATTTATTCCAATAGTATTTAAAGTTCTAAATAGAATGATTTTTTTACCCTTAAGGTTTGCTATCAAAACTGAAAGCTCTTCAAGTATCTGAAAACCCCCTAATATATCCATCCAGAAAGGTTGTAGTAGAAGGAACCAAAGCAATTAAAACGTACCTAAAGAAACAATATGAAAAATCACTCCACGTCACAAAACCGCCAGAGGAATCCAGAAAGGAGAGAAGTGAAAAAGATCAGGAAAAAGAGGAACTGATAAAAGTTCAAAATTTCACAAGTAGCGAAGAAAGTGTGTCTGTCAAACCCAAATACAATAAAGCTAAGAAAAAAAAGGAATCTAGCAAAGAAATAAAGGAAGCCATAAAAAAGAAAATGGCTGACCCACGTGGCTTACAGCCAACTTTGAAAGTCAAGAAGCTGTCTCATACCAGTATATCTAAAACATTGGACAAGAACGAAGGGGAAAAGAAGATCAATGAACCCTTGAAGATTGTTCACAAAATCAGCAGAACTTGTGACACTATTTCATTGACATCTTCTCTTGACAGAGTAGGAATTAGAAACATGGGCAATATTGCGGAAAGTGGCCTCAAAGAAGGATGGTTAAATCAATTGAGATTGATTTTAAGTGACCAAGAAAGAATTCTGCAACAAGAAAGGTATTTATAATAATTGTTATTTAGTACTATAAAGGAATAGTAGGTTGATATATATATATTTTTTACTATATGCAAATAATTATTAAATACATTTAATAACTATAGGCACGGACGTTGTGAAAATAATTATTCTTGTCTTGTTAATAATCTTATACACCGTGTCCACCTAGTGCGCGTAAGTCCAATATCTAGGTTAATAAAATATATAACTTTTGTTCATCAAATTCAATAAAAAAAATATATTAGTTCATTGATATTTATTTTTAGAGGTCGCTCGAAAACATTTTAGGTACACTTCTTTTAAAGTTAAAATAATTATGAGTGAATTTTAGAAATTAAAATATTGATTTGAAATTTTCAGAATCGAGATTTTTTTCAACCCAGAAAATGATAAAATAACGAGAAAAAAATTAAAATAAAAAAAAAATCAATTTTGAACATTTTAAAAAATCTTGAGCGACCTCTAAAAAAAATTTTTTTTGAGCTGGTTTTTTGAGGGGCTCTTAAAACATGATAAACTAACACATTTTCACAAGAGACAAGAAAAAAAAATAATCGTTTTTTTTGGGCCACCCTAATCTACATGAGAGAGAAATTCTGATAATAATAAAGAGAATATGTACAACTGTTGTAAAGAGGCGCCCCTGGTTGGTTTTTGGTTTACAGGCTAAATAGTGATAGATAGAAAAAAATATATAGCTATCTCGTGCTTGTTTTAGGGTTTTATTTAGTGATACACTGTGCTTTAAGGAAAATGTCATATTGTTTGTATCAATTAAATAATTAAGCGAAAAATAATTTTAAAATACGGTGCTTCGATCCACTTCACCTTTAATGTAAACATTTCTTTGTATCTCTAATAATAGGACAACTATTATTGTACTGTCACATTAATATGAAATAGTCCCCAAGCCAGCGACTTTTTTTTCGAACTGATTACAAAAGTCATTAAAACGGTCTGGATCGCTTCGTGTTAACAAGTCTACCACGCTGTAAAATTTTTAGAATATGGGAAGGGCGCTTTTCCGCACTGCGAGTACTTAAACCTGTCGTTCTGGGCGGGTTATCTTTTGTGATTACAACACTCAAATTTTTTATTTGAATTAAAAGAAAATATGTTAAATAAGAAGCAAATTGAGTTGTCCGACAAAATAGTGGGCGCAATTGTCGAGTCCGACATCTCCAACATGTCGCTCTAGCGCGGTATGGTATTCCGATTACAAAACACCCAATTTTCATTTTAACTTACTAAAAATTGCCTAAAAACCGTAGTCCATACCTTGTCCGACAAATTTTCAGGCGCTTTTTTCCAGTTCGACAACCGAAACATGTCGCTCATCGCAGATTAGGTTTTCCGATTACAAAAGTGATACATTTTATATTTTTGGCTTTAGAATAAAATAATAATTAAAAGACAATACTTGTCCGACAAAAAAACGACGCAAATTAATAAAATCTAATAAAAAACATTTTTTCAATTTTTAAATGTAGTAGCCATAGACCAATTAGACTGGCCTATAGAGCGACTTTGGTGAAAACACTTCGGAGCCTGATTTGGAGCCCAGCGCTCAGTCGTGTCCTAGCATTTGACGTGTACGCATCGCTGTGATTTCGGTAATTAGACATTTTATCATGGGCATGAATGATTTCAACCCTTCCTTCTTCAGAAAAGGTAAAAAAAGCCTTTTGACATTTTAAAGAACGTGACTTTCCAAGAGGCTTTCTTAAACTTAATTGAAACTTCACCATCTCAAATTGACATAGAGAGCAACATTTTTAAACGAATGGAGGAGTTCACTTGTATCGAAATGTTCGAAAGAAGTTATAAAATCAATAGTTCTTCGGAGGAAGTTCTTAAGGAGAAAATTAAATCTTTCGACACATCCAGTTTACCTCCTAGTAGTGAAGAGCTTTTGCAGCACGTCAGAAGAACGACGTATATTAGCAGCATTTGGTGTAATGATCACCTAAGAACGCCAACCGAAAAAAAAAACAGAAGAATGTGGCTGGATAATAATAGATGGCGACTATAACTTTTATTGGTTCGACGGTCCTGAAATTCCAAGGCTCCAAGACATATCTATAGGTATGCTATAAAAATTTTATAAACAATCCCAAATTTTCCTTTGTACCCCGCGTAAAAGTGGGATTTTCTTTCTACATTCTTCGTGGGGTATAAAGAAATAGTATATTCTTACGCTAAGTTGCGTACCGTATTTTTCATTACAAGTGAAAATAAATTACTTTCCGCACGTGCGATGAAAAATCATATACAAATTATGGGGAGAAAAAAAACCTTCAATATTATTATAATCCTCGGTTGCGTCTTAGATAACAACCGCGTATCCTTTTTTTCCTCCCTAGGTTCGTAATATAGTTTGATGAATTAAATTTCGCAATTTTATACAATCTTTTTTAACATTATTTCAGATCAAGATAATCCAAGTGATGCATCTGACGGTGACGACGAAGATACCACGAGTTAATCCGATGATGATTTGAGTGGAGACGATTCTGATTAGTCATATAATGTTTTACTTATTTATTTTTTCATTTGAAATGTTTTATTTTTTAACTTTTTCTTATATTTCTTAAAATAATTTAATTTTTTATATATTTCATTTTCAATTATTTTTTATGATGACATTATTAATAAAAAAAATACAAGTCGCATATCATTGTTATTACATTTAAAACTAATTATATGTAACAATAATCGATTTATTAAGTTTATGAAATTAATCGTTTCTTTTTGTCGGACTAGCAATATGATCCACTATTTTTGTCGGACATTGTCATATTTTGATAAAGAAAGTACTATTTTAGCACTTGGTATTTGTGTCCGAAATTTTATAATCGGAAAACCTAACCTGCGATGAGCGACATGTTTCGGTTGTCGGACTGGAAAAAAGCGCCTGAAAATTTGTCGGACAAGGTATGGACTACGCTTTTTAGGCAATTTTTAGTAAGTTAAAATGAAAATTGGGTGTTTTGTAATCGGAAAATCATACCGCGCTAGAGCGACATGTTGGAGATGTCGGACTCGACAATTGCGCCCTCTATTTTGTCGGACAACCCAATTTGCTTCTTATTTAACATATTTTCTTTTAATTCAAATAAAAAATTTGAGTGTTGTAATCACAAAAGAGAACCCGCCCAGAACGACAGGTTTAAGTACTCGCAGTGCGGAAAAGCGCCCTTCCCACACTGAGCGAATTTCTTTGTTACGGTTAGTAAAAATCCACTAACCGTAGCAAAATATCTGCATTAAATAGGCGCCAAGTGAGTTGCCTTCCTTCCACAAGAAAAACTGCTTTGCTGGAAGGAACTCACTTGCAGTAAGTAGACAGTTTTGCTATAATCTCTTTGCTACCTCAAGTAAGTCAACTCATTAACCACAAACGACTCAACTCATTAACCCCAAACGAGTGAACTCATTAACCCCAAGCGAGTCCTCATTAATCCTAAGCGAGTCGACTCATTAACCCCAAGCGAGTGAACTCCGTATTTACTATTTTTCGGTGTTGTTGGCTCTCCTCACTCTTTCGTGCACCATGCAATGCAACTTAAATGTTGTACATATTTTCAAACAAGCATAAAATGAAAATCCCCATTCGAGAAGTAAGAGTTTGTATCCAGCCTGCATTGTGTGCATGTAATCACGCATGCATATAAGTATTATTGCATACCTACGCAAATACCCTAATTGAAAACTTTCTGTCGGTTGTTAGACAACTGAAAACTGACTCAACACTCGATCACAAAACATCTATTTATTATAAAGGACCCATCGACTAACGATTGACGAACGTATATCCAGTGCTTACGTGTTACAGCAAAATGGCGATACCTCTAACTTCTCTATGGACGAAACCATGGTCAGTATAAGGCACGCGTAATCGCGCATGCGCACTGAGCCGAATTCCGGTTTATTCTGGAAATTATTAAGTGAGGCCTCAGTTACAGTAAGTGAGCCCTAATTTGCTACAAATAAGGACTGACTAACCCCAATTGGATCAATTCTAAAAAAGTACATTCACTTACCCGAGCAAAGCAACTCACTTGGGACAGATAGACAGTCGACTAAAATAAAATTTCAACTGAACTATCATATAGCCACAAGACTTTTCTTTGTTGTGGTAGCAAACACGTTTCAGCAAAACGTATTTACTTGTGGCAGCATGAATTTTTTTCTGTGAGAGCAAAAATTTTACCTACTGTAGCTAAAATATCTTAGCAAAGCCCCTCACTTGGTGGATTTCTTTCGGTGCATATTCTAAAAATTTTACAGCGTGGTAGACTCGTTAATACGAAGCGATCCAGACCGTTTTCATGACTTTTGTAATCAGTTCGAAAAAAGGTCGCTGGCTGGGGGACTAAAATGCTTAAATTAAGTAAATTAAATTATTTCCCGAATTTCGAATAAAACGAGTAATTTCACAGATCACTGAGGGCCCTCTCGGACTGGCGCACGAAGAAACGTGCCGAAACCCCGAAAGTGTTCAGAGAAAACAGCGACGCGAATAAACCGGCGCCTCCGCCCTACGCCACTTACCCAGAATACGCCAGGATGCCGACGCGCGAGGCGCTGGCGGCCCAGCTGAACATCTTCTTCAGGGAGAAGGGATTGTCGAGGGCCGGCCTCAAAGACGGGAACACCTTGAACGTAGACAAATTGATAAACGATTTGGTGGAGCAGCTCAAGGAAATGGAACACACGTACGGCGTAACGCGATCGCCCAGATCGGAAATTGAGGAGGCAGAGAGGCAAATTAAAATGGTGAGTCTGGAGGTCTCGGGTGACGCGGAGTTAATAGTTCCGGCGGGTTCACGTTTCAACGCTTATTTAACGCTGTTCCGTATAAACGATACACCCACGAAACGTTATTTAACACGTTCGGGGATGACTATACCGTATTCGCTATACTCTGTTGGATCACTGCTTCCCCGCCAATATTTATTTCTTTTGATTTTCATGTTCAAAACGACTAATGCCCGTTTGCACCATAGTGTTTAATCCAGGATTAAACTTGGATTAAAATATAACATTTTGTTTGCACCGTTTCAAATCTATGTATTAATCTAGGATTGATTTAAACCCTCAAATTTGACCGCTTAAACTTGGATTAATGAGAAAACATAAATGGACACTATTGACAGTACTTAGCTGCTAGTTATAATTTTTTTATTAGGTACGTATTTCTTCCTTTTTCCTGTGGACTGTGAATGAGTGAGTGGTGTTAAGACATCATTGAGAACTTTGAAATGGATTCAGATTCTGACTTTGATTTTTATTTTTTATTCTTAATATGATTTTGTATTTCTAGGAATAATAGTGTATCTCCTATCCAACAATTGCTGACTGCTCTTCGGTTCTATGCATGTGCTGGTCATTTGTCTGCCATTGCAGACTTTTCAGAGATGGCCATATCAACAGTGTCCAGAATAATTGTACGAGTATCAATTGCAATAGCTCGGCTTTATCAGAGATACATAAAAATGCCAAACCCAGAAGAAATAGTTAGTATGCAACATGAGTTCTATAAAATTGCATCATTTCCTAGGGTGTTAGGTGCCATTAATGGTACTCATAGACCTTATAAACTATCTAGGTCTATGATGATACTCATATTAAAATTTTGGTTTGAGAATTTGACTTTGACATATTTTTTCCAAACATAACTAGACATAAGTTAGCAGCATAATAAAATCCCTAAACAGTATTCTTAAAGCCTATAGTTTAATTTAATCTACAACCGGCAGTAAGTGGTGAAAACGCTGATTATTAAAACCTATTTTTAAAATTAAACCATGTGCAGTTGAACTTGGCTTAAATTCTAAACGGTGCAAACGGGCATAAATAACTAATTAATCAAATCAGTATATACAGAGTGATTCACTTTTTATGATTAGGGCTTTAACCACCGGTAGGTCTCGTCAAAATAATGTCATTTTGAAGTATACACTTTATATTCCAAAGGCTTCCGTTTAGAGATATAAGCGTATAAAAAACATATTTTTGTTTTTTATTTATGTTTTCTTAAACTATGAAAGCCATTTTTATATATTTAGTAAGAAGTGTACGATTGAAAACCTCTAAATATTCGTTTTGAAAATTTTCCAGTGGCGTACAAATTATATAAGAAATAGTGGTTTTCAGAGCCCCTTACTGACGCCTATGATTGATCTATATTCACAATAATTTGTAAAGTTGATAGAGCTTTTTATTCGTACACTTCATCCTAAATATAAAACAAATGGCTTTCATAGTTAAAAAAAATAAATAAAAACCAAAAAAAAAATGTTTTTTCAAGAGCTTATATCTCTAACAGGAAGCCTTTGGAAGAAAAAGTGTATAATTACTTCAAAATGACATTATTTTAACACATGGTCGGGATTAGAGAGAACAAACGAAAAATTTTAATTGTTATGAAAACACGGAAAAAATATTTAGTTTATCCATATTTTATTTAATTTTTATTAAAAAATATATTTAAGATGTATTAGTCCACGCATATTGGGTGTCTATATTTTATGTACAGCATAATATGTTATTAAGTTAAATTAAGTTAGAATCAACGAAATTGATTTAATGCTAGTGCAGAATTAGTGTAATACCTACAATACACCAATAATGCGTAATGTAACATATTTCAATATATGTATATACAGGGTGTCCCATAAGCACATGATGAAAGGTACTGCGACATACTTTGACTCAAAAGAAGACTATTTGACCTAACTTCTATTAAGAAGTAATGTCTGGCTTCTCTACTATTGACTGTCGAAGTTCCTGAAAAAAAAATATGTTTTTTGTAATATCTGGAGAATGTTATGATGGATTTTAATGAAACTTGCTGTGGACTTGTTCCTAGGTAAAACTCATGTTTTGATGAAGCAACCGCGTCCATCTGCCTTGGGTTAATGGTAAATTCTTGAGTATCTTGGTACAAGAATTACCAGAACTTTTTATTTGGTCGTTGGAATTAATTCATTTTATTTTTACTGATGCATCAGTCCTTTTTCGAGATTATCGTGCTCTTGGTAAAATTTTGTAACATTCATAGTTTTTACGCAAACATTTTTTTTTTTCAATTTTAGACAAACATTATCACTACTACTCAAGTACAACTACTCACTACAATTGCTACTATCGTAGTAAGCGATGATGTCATTTTATAATAAATGAATTGTCAATCTTTTCACGTTAGTCGGACAGTCCGATACATTCGTTTCGAATGGCGTTTTCTAATGAAGAGATGACCGACTGATCAAAGTCTTAGGGTTTTGTGAAGATAACTTGGGTGGGAGTGTACAATCTACGCGGCGCGATACCCAAATCTACGGGTTCCAGATTACCGATTTACATGGATTGAAAAGAGTTTGCGGGAGACTGGGCAATTTGGTGTTCGAGCCGTTGACCGTGTGGGTTGTCCTCAAGTACGAAATGCAGCCGTTGAGGGAGACGTTTTAAATAGGGTCGCAGAAAATCCAAATATCACTCATGTCATCCTCATATCCTCAATCCTCATATCACTATCATATACTCGCCGTCTGACAGTGGAATTTGGCATATCAAAAAGTACAATTAATCGCATCATAAGTCAGCAGCTCCTCCATCATTATCATGCGACGTCTATTCAGGAGCTTTTACCACACCATTTTGAGAGAAGACTTCAATTTTGCCCTTTTTATTTAAGGAGCGCGGGCAAATGATCCAAATTTCACCTACCGAATTTTATTCACTGATGAAGCTGGTTTTACCAAAAGTGGTATCTTTAATTCACGTAATTTCCACAATTACGCAGAAGAAATCCCTCATGCGAGGCGTATTAACCATTTTCAGGTGGAATTTCAAATAAATGTTTGGGCCGGGATCATCGGTGACATCCTTCTGGGTCCTTATGTCATGCCGCGCCGCTTGAATAGCGAAAATTAATTCAATTTTCTGACGATTATCTTTCCGGTTCTAATGGAAGACGTCCCTCTTGATCTTCGTGCTCAGATGTAGTTTATGCACGATGCTCCTCCGCACTTTAGTGCAAATGTAACTGCACATTTAAATAATACTTTTCCACACAAATGAATCGGAAGAAGAGGGAGAGATGTTCCTGTCGAATGGCCCCCCAGGTCCCCCGATTTAACGCCGTTAGATTTTTTTCTATGGGGAGCCTTGAAGAATAAAGTTTACGCTACTCCTGTGGAATCCCAAGAAGAATTATTGCGTAGGATTCAAAACGAGGCGGACGTAATACGGAATGATCCAAAAATGTTGAGGAGGGCTCAATTCAATTTCAATCGAAGGATCCAGCTATGCATCCAAGAAAATGGGGGGCATATCCAACATGTCTTGTAATTCCACCATCATCTATCGTATCTATGTAACTATCATCTAGTTTCAATAAAGAGAATTATGTCTTTCTCAAGTACGTCTTTACATTTTTTAGTGATAGCAAAAAATAAATCTAATAAAGTAAAATGATATTCAATCCGTCGCATTGCAATAGACTTTAAAATTGCAACCATTTTACTTTCAATATTGATATCCTAGGTAAAAAATTGACAATTATTATTAGAGAATGCTGCTTCTTGTAAAAGGACAAATTTACTGCGATACATCTAAAATTGTTAAGTCGCAACGAAACAGAAAACATTTTTTTGCGTAAAAAAATATGAATGCTACAAGATTTTACCAAGAACACGAACATCTCGAAAAAGGACTGATGCATCAATAAAAATAAAATGAATTGATTCCAGCGACCAAATAAAAAGTTCTGGTATTCTTGTACCACGACACTCAAGAATTTACGACTAGCCCAAGGCGGATGGACGCGGTTGCTTCATCAAATCATGAGTCTTACTTAGGAACAAGTCCACAGCAAGTTTCATTAAAATCCATCGTAACATTCTCCAGATATTACAAAAAACACATACTTTTTCAAGAACTTTGACAGTCAATAGCAGAGGAGCCAGACATTTTTTCTTAATGGAAGTTAGGTCAAATCGTCTTCTTTTGAGCCAAAGAATGTCGCAGTATCTTTTTGATCATGTGCTTATGGGACACCCTGTATATAATTAATATTTGAATAATAAATATTTTGTCTTAACTAATGTTGTATTGAACAAGTAAACCTACTGGTAAAACAAATTGTAGAAATTGGCGAATGCGCTGGTTCTTTAGAATGATTACTTTTCAATAGCTACAATAATTAAGATGGCCATACCCCTGGCCGAGAAATAATCAAATTTCTGGCGTTTTTAGGTACTGAAATCTTGAAAACTAAAACGTGTAGAACAAAAGTAAGCACAAAAATAAAATCCTTGATGTTCTGTTTATTCATTGTTACCATTTAAATTTACTCAAATAAAATAATAACTAAGAAAAAAGCGTTTGTAAAACATGCGTTTGCTGTTATCCTAACCCCACATTTTAAGAATTATTTTCACGTACTTATAAATAAAAGTAAACAATTTTATATGTAGGACTAAGCAAGTAAATATTATAAGAATATTTACATGTGAAGTTGTATATAAAAGTTAGTATTCTCGTAGATTTCAGTACCTAAAATCTTGATGGTTTGATCGTTTTTTACACCTGTTTATTCGTTTTACTGCGGCGTCTTTAAAAATAATCAGATGGCATGACATAACATTCCTATTATTTGATAAGCTTTAGATTATTCAGTTATTAAATGTTTGAAATTATTCGTCTTTGTGGAAAACACTATTTAAAGAATATGGGGCCCTTAAGCAAAAGTTACTTTTGATGATTCTGAACCTTGTGCTAAATGTCCTTGAGCGCTTCGATGACATTTAAGTATAACCTTGACGAATGAGATTACATTCAGCCGTTCCGGATCTCCATGTATTTATATTTTTCTAATTTGAATACCTAACTAAGAAAGCATTATGTTTTTATTACTGTTTCAGATTACTGACATACACAAGAAACTTCTACAACTGAAATCTAGTAATAACATGGCAATCTAAAAGAAAACTAATGGAAGTATAGTAATAAAATTATGTAAAATCTTTGTTTTGTATTGAAATATCAATGTTTCGTTACATATTTACCTATACTGATGTACTAATGTATAATTCTATACAAATACTAATAAAATAAATTGTTAACATACCAAGTTTTCATCTAATGCCTCCCAAAACTCTTATATCCGTAACTGACAACTGCAGTTAAAAATTGAAATCAATTTTTCATACTTCGTCAAAGACCTTACCAAACAAATGTTATTGTACCACGATTTCGTAGGAGATAAAGCCTACTCCTTAAAGATGTAGGTACTTGATGAGATTCTGGACAGAACATGTCTACTAGAATAAGAAGTTTTCAATATAATCTTTCTCGAGCAAGGCGCCTGGTTGAGTGTGCTTTTGGTATAATTACCCGAATGTGGAAAATTTTAGAATAGGAAACTGAAATGTGCCAGGATAAAATAGATTTAACTGTGAAATGTATCTGTTTGTTATTAATAATGAATATGGGCAATTCCTCAATGCTTTTGAAATTACGAAAACTGCATTTCAAAACAAGAAAAGCAAAAAAAAACTTTTGTTTTTTAAATGGTACTTCTGTATATTTGACTTTTTTATTTCTTTCTTTTTTTCTGATTACAATAATATATGCATGTCAGATTATTGATGTTTGCACAATATTTTAGTTTATTTATTTATCCTGCACATAGTTGAGATTGGCATATTGTTATGGAACCACTGTGTAAGTAAGTTTGCCACTATTAAATTTTCTAAACAAATCTTTAAATTCTCTATTAAGAAATTATATTTTGTTGTAGGAAAAGCATGTTTTATACCTTCAGCCTGTTCTAGACAAGACACATATTTCATGCATTTTTTTAATTCCTTGTTATCCACCTTATTTACAATACTAACTTCTTTTAATATTTTCTCTTTTAGATCTTACAAACCATTAGATTTTTCTTTGTTTACTTTCTCTTTCAGAATTCCTTATATAAAGAACTTCATTAGAGAGATTAGATTAGTCTTGCACATCATAAGAAAAATTTAATTAAATAAATGTTCTTAGTCTAGAACTCAATGGAGTTACTATATAGAACACCTTTTAAAGCATAGTATTTTTTTTTCATAATAAATTACTTTAAGATCTGTGTAGTAAATTTAATAGTGGAAAATCATAAATATATGCACGATTCAGTGGCAATCGTGACTTTATCTATTGTGGACGCTCAGTAATAAACAAAAATATTGTGGAAATTCCAATAAGCGACAAATATACAGTATGTTACATAAAAAGAACAAAAGTCTGGTTTATATCTTTGAAACGCAACAGTCTATTGTTTTTCTACATATTTCTAGTCTAGTCTAGTAGTTCTAGTCGGTCGGTAGCCGCACGGTTTAAGGCGTCAGTAGTTAAATCGATGTGTGCTAATTCTGCCCGGGTTCGATTCCCGCGGCCGGTAAACCGTAGATTAGCTATGCTTGTATGGAAGATTGGCACCCTCTGTGCAGGTATGGTAGGGTGAAAGAATGTTGGCTTGGGTCAATGTGAGAGATTGACACCGGCTGGCATTTGACAACCCCCCTAATTAATGAGGTTTTCCAGGTTTCCCTTATTCCTGCCTGGTTAGGGCCTACCAACATAAGTCGCTCCTGGGCGCAAATGCGGCCTGCTTAATAATAATATGCCGCCTCCTCTCCCGCACAAGTCTCCGACTTCTGGGCTAATTCTCGTGGTTAGAATGAGGAGTAGAGATATTATTTATGTGATACTGCAACAAATTTGATACAACTTTGGTCTTTATATTTTTTTTCTAGATTGAAAGGTACAAAATATAAAAATAAAAAATACTCACCTTCATAATTAATTACTCAATTAGGTATTTAAATAATAGAGTGAGACGGGTGTGTGGGGGGAGATAACATATGCGCGCATCATACATCGGATAATATTCAAGTTTTACTGAAGTATTACGCAAATTTATTCAATATTACTCAAGATTGTCCAGTTATTCCTTCGGTTTCTCTCTCATTTTTGTCTGACACAAATGTCATACTTCCATCTGAACTGAACTGATCAAAATAAACTATTTTGGTTGCATCATAAATTCTATTGAAATCGAATAAATAGATTGCAAGCACTGTACATACATATTTGTTTTATTCTGACGGTTGGTAAAATATCGTATAATGATTTGCATATGAATTCGCATCCAATACAAGGTGTATCTAAATAACACCGAAAAAATTAAGGGGCGATTCTCTGATGAAAATTAATAGGAGTCTTTGGTATAAAATTGTTTGTAAAAACTCTCCCCTGAAAAAAAAAATATGTTTTCTTTTTTATCTTCCATGTACTTATATCATGCTAAAGAAACTACAGAGCACCTAGAGTGTACGTTTCCTATCCCAAAACATGGGAACTGCTGAAGTCAAATTGCGGGGAAGTGGAGTGTGCGAGGTAATCTGACCGCGCAAACTTTGAACAGGTCCGGATTAAACAATACATTTCCACTTATGACAAATATTCATTTTTCAAATTTGGAATTCAAAAAATAATATATTTTAATGTCTTGCTTATATTAAATAAACCTATAAAATAATTTAAATATATTTATTGTCCTTTAAGTAATGTTAGTTTATTTAATATTTTTTTCTTTTAGTAGATTTCACTGAATTTAAATATGTTCATATTCAAAAAGATTTTTAATACATGATACACAATTCTATTTTTCTGACGGTAAACCATGAAATCATTAAGTTAAGACATTAAAAAAAGTAAATTCAGCGAAAAATAATTAAAATATATTTTTTGTCCTTTAAGTAATGTTAGTTTATTTAATATTTTTTTCTTTTAGTAGATTTCACTGAATTTAAATATGTTCATATTCAAAAAGATTTTTAATACATGATACACAATTCTATTTTTCTGTAGCTTGGGTGTACTGTTTTTATAGGAGTTATTAAAAAAAAACATTATTATTTCTATTTCTTAAATTGTCATTTTTTTAAACGACAGTTTGCTTACCACTCTTGGTAAGTTTAAAGTTGGCACTTCATTTTTGGATAAATTTCTAATGCCGTTTTTATTAATAATAATAAACTTAAGTAAATCTGCTATTTGTTTGCAAATTTTATCATGTTCAATTTTTGTCATACTTACAGAATGCAAAATTCGTTTCATGATATGGCAAGACAGTTAAATTTGATTTTACTTCCTTCAATAGAAAATTAGTACCTATTTCAAATAGGCTAATTTTCAGTGAGTGGTCATTCCAAGGATTTTGGGCCTATTCATTGTAAAAGAAGTTTAAAACTGGTACAATCATTCCTTAACAATTAAAATATGTAATTTACCCATTTCTTTCTTTAAATTAATGAATATTATGTATTGTTTTTGTTTAAATCTTTGAAACTATTTTTCTTACACAAAAACACATTTATTGTAAAGTAAATGTGGAGTATGCTAAAAGCACATTTTATAGCAGCAATAATACTTATTACTATTAGTACCTACTCATTTTTCTAAGCTAACTAAATCATCCACACTAATGCTAACAATTAAAGGGTCAAAAGAATTTCCGAAATTTTTCCGTGATTTTTTACAGACTGTATTTAAGTGAAAAATGGTCGTATCGAGAATTAAAAAAACATTTTGAACCTCTAAGATTCTAGTTTTTAGATCTTTTGGTCGAAAATTTTTAAGAGCAACGGTTATCATTCAATTCTAAGAAATAGCGGGACAAAAAAATTTTGCATTTTCTTTTTTCCGAGTTCGCGGACTTGGGAAAATTTTCCATTGCATGGACCAGATAGCTTGTTTATTCAGCTTTAATTTCCTTTTTTTAAAATTTCGATATGACCATTATTCATCGAAATATCGGACTTTTAATGGAAAAGGATCCTTTTGTCTTCAATCATAGATATCTCGGCAACAAATGGTCGTACAGAGAATTGAAGGGCAGTTTCAAAAACTGTTATAAATTTCCTATAACATACTGCCGCAACTTTTCGTAAACTATATTTTTTTTCATCCTTTACATGAATTTAAAAATACACGAAGGGTAATTTATGGTTTTTTTAGAAAATTGACGGCTAAATTAGAAATATTCACGAAATGACTAATGTTAAGCATGATTTTTACAGTTCGATATACCCAGAAGAACCCTGTGAAGTTTCATCTCGATCTAACAAACCGTTTCTTTGTTTCAAACAAACTTTTGAAAAAATTAAAGGGTCACGTTTTTTGAGCTTAAACACTTCATAATCATGATTAAATTAAAAAAAAAACTTTTTTTGAGGTTCTCACATTTTTACCGCAAACATTTAAATTGATCAAAAAAAATCTTTTTTCGATAAATTTTTGAAATTTTTTTCAGAAGAAAAAGGGTAGTTTTGAAAAAATTGTTTTTAAGTGATTACAGACTGCACAAAAATTAATTACAAATTTGTCTCAAAAAAAAGGTATGAATCGGGATCGAAATCTAGTTTGGGTCATCAACTTTAATTTTAATTTAATTAAAAGTTGATGAACAGAAGCATAGGACAGAAAAACCGAATCGTGCTGGAAATAATTGGATTTTGTTTTCTTCAATGTCCGGAACATTATTATTTGCGGTTTTGCGGTAAAATTGTAAGAAAACCTCAAAAAAAATTTTTTTTTCCATTTTAATAATAACTGTTTTAAGCTCAAAAAATGTGACCCTTTAATTTTTTTCCAAAGTTTGACTGTAACAAAAGAAACTGTTCGCTAGATCGAGATGAAACTTCACAGGGTTCTTCTGGGTATATCCAACTGTAAAAGTCATGCTTAACATTAATCATTTCATGAATATTTCTAATTTAGCCATCAATTTTCTGAAAAACCATAAATTACCCTTTTTTCCTGTTTTTTTAAATTCATGTAAAAGACGAAAAATACATTTCTTCCGAAATGATATAGGAAATTTATCCGTATTCGAAACTGCCCTTCAATTCTCTGAGATATCGTTGATTGAAAACAAAAGGATCCTTTTCCATTCAAAGTCCGATATTTTGATGAATAATGGTCATATCGAAATTTTAAAAAAAAGGAAATTAAAGCTGAATAAACAAGCTATCTGGTCCATGCAATGGCTTAGCTGAAAAAATTTTTTCTAAGTTCGTGAATTCGGAGAAAAAATTAAAAAATTTGCAAAATTTTTTTTGTCATGCTATTCCTTAAAATTGCACGATAACCGTGGCTCCTAAAAATTTTCAACCGAAAGATCTAAAAACTAGAATCTTAGAGCTTCAAAATGCTTTTTTTTAATTCTCGATACAACCATTTTTCACTTAAATACAGTCTGTCAAAAATCACGGAAAAATTTCGGAAATTCGTTGACCCTTTAATTGTTTGTATTAGTGTACTAAATTACACAAACTTATGTACAATATAAATGTAACTGCCTCTGACGCAAAAGTTACGATTTCTCTCCGTGAATATTTCAAAATGGAATTTCATATTATTTCTCTTAAATACAACGAATTTAGCAACTGAAAACTTACCTTCAGTGATTTTATTGTTTAACGTGTACGATTTAATTATAATAATACGACATGTCTCAGATTTTGACAGAAAAGAATTACGATCAATGTTTATTAATCATAATAAATTCATATAATGTTATATTACATAATTATTTTAATCTAACTTATGTATATATCGATTTTATCAAATTACTATTAATTTTCAAAATATGTATAATACTAAAGATCACAAAACAATTTTATCCTTTCTTACAGTTACATAAAATCTTATATAAATAAAATAACAAATATATGATAAACAGAACATTTTCTTTATAGATCAGTCATTGTCGTAGTGTTGACGTGTTTTAAAATGTACGACCCATCACAATCTTCCCTTTAATCGCCTCGTGTGTATTTTCTACAAATCCCAATTTTCCGTAAAAAGCGTGAGTGTAGCTGTCCGTCACATTCATCACAACGTGTACGCCAAACGAGCCTAAAAAGCAAATATAATCTTATTTTTCGTGGTGTCTCATTTGAGAGGCAAATCTGTTTTGTTGACATTGATACTGGATAAATTTAAATCATAATATATCGGGTATCCCAAAATTCAAGCATGATTTGAATTTTGCGCCATTCGTGTGGTAGTGTTGCCACAAAGAATAAAAAAAACTAGCATGCTAGGTGACAATTGAGGGTTGATATAAATGGACCGCTACACAAAAGAACAATGCATTTTCATTGTTGAGTAATATTTTTAAAATAATGAAGGTTTGGCAGTTATAGTTTGCAATATCCGTAAAGATTTAACTTCATCAACTGTGAACAGACTAATTGAAAAATTCAGAGAGACTGAATCAATTAATGATCTTAAATACTCTGGCTGTCCTTCAACTGACAGTGTTGCTGAGAGTCCAGGAACATCAATTCGATACTGTGGTCAAAATTGGACATTTCAAAAAGCTCTCTACAGCGTATTCTCAAGGAAGATTTGCATCTTCATGCTTACAAAGTTCAGTTGGCACAAGAACTGACTGACACATACGACCACGCAGAACAAATAGAGTTCGTTGAATGGATTATGCAACAAGTGGATGCTGACTTTTTGATGAGGCTCAATTTCATCTTGGTGGCTTCATTAAAAAACAAAATTGGTACATTTGGAGTTCAGAAAATCCATGCTTCGCTGTTTGGTGGGGATTTTGGGCTGAAGGCATGATAATCCAGTCTTTTGTGCCTAAATTGCAAGATGTGGATGCAAACGACATGTGGTTTCAATGAGACGATGACACCTGCCATACAGACTGAGAAAAAATTCAATTTCTGCATGATTCATTTCCCAGGTCGTGTAATTTCCTGTTTTAGTGATCAGAATTGGTCGCCCAGATCTTGTGATTTAACACCGTTGGACTTTTTCCTTTGGGGTTTTTTGTACGAACAGGTTCACAACCACCTACACCGTGAAAAGGAAATTGAGAATTATATCAACGAAATTCATCCGCATTTACATAAAACGGTGAAGAAAAATTTCAACAAAATAGTGCGTATAGCAAAGCAGTGGAAGATATTGACCTGATATGTGATTCCATACATAACCCTATACTGTATACTGTGGGTACACATATTGCATGTGACGTTAAGTATTCCGTCAATAGCGTCAGCTGATGCCACCCGGAAAGGTCTAATGATTGCAATGACAACAGGGTTCCAGAAAAAGGTACACGGCAAACTGGCGCCAAGGACCAGGATAACTACGAACAATTGCACAACACAGGAGACTCTTCAGCGAACGCTTGCTTCGATAACACGTATTCTTTTTCACTAACTAGTTTTCAATAAAAATACTTTTATTTTTCCGTTGAGAGAGAGTTTTATTTGCTGCACACCGAAAGCAACCCTCAATACTATATGAATGAATTAAAAATTAACAATTTTTAATTGAAAAACCTGTGTTTTCTATCAAAATTACTTCTGTGAATTTTAGGACACCCTTTATATTTAAGAAATATTTGAACATAATTTTACTTAGATTAATTTCTTTCAGTAGTACATTTCTGTTGCTAAAGAATATAGAAATTTTAATATTCACTGATTGAATACTGCAGATAATCCGCTACTAAAAATATGATTTTCAAACTACTTTGTCCCATTTTAATACCCCGCTAAAATTATGGTGCCATTAACGGTCGCTTTAAATTTTAACATACAGGATATAAATTCATAATTAATATTTAGCACAACGTTAAACATTAAAATTTTAACATGTTTTTAAAATTTAAAGATGTTAAATGCTTTAATTGCAAACTTTTGACTTTCTTATTCGACGGTCCTCGTTTAACACTGGAAACAAATGACAGACTTACCGTTAGCCCTCAAAGCAGCTAATAAGCATGTAACAAGTCTTTTACTAACTGACTGATCCATAATTGACGGTAAAAGACTACATATCATACTAGAAGGATGAGTTGGACTGCTGACGTAAATTTCATCCTTAAAATCGTGAAAGTACGAAATGGCATCCTAAAAAAATATTTATGTACGAATTCTACCGATAAACTGCATTGTAACTTGATTTATTCACAAGAATCCTTGAGACTTTACCTGAACAAACTTATGTAAGTCCTTGCCAAGATCCGGATGATATTTTTCACACATTTCCGGTATCCAGGCAATCTCCTGTTTCACTCTAAATTTCTTATAGTCCGGGGAAGCACAGGCATACCCGACGACGCCCGCGTCATCCTCTACGACAAAGCAAAATTCGGGATGGAGAGTTAGATAAGGCCCTACCATCCTTTCAGCATGTAAGTTTTTGAGTTCCTTAGGGTAAGGAAGCGGGTCCTCAAGACCATCCTTACACGTTCGAGTACATATGCTGTAAACTATTTCTTCGTCTGTGGGCAGGTAAGGTCGAATGGTGTAAACACGATTGGTAGGTACGTCTGGCACTTTATAAACGAAAAGATCGTTGCCCGAATCCACAGGTATGAGTCTCTGAAATGAATGAGGTAATATTTAAAAACCCAGAAGAGCTTTGAAAATGGCAATAATTGCATAATTAAATCTATCAGCAGATAATTTGTTCAAGAAATCTGCCTAAAGAAGTTTTTTATAACTAAGATTATGAACTATGAAGCACCAGTGAAATGAGAAATAAAAAAACACTAAATATGAAAAAAGAAAAAACGTAAAACGAAAACTAAGCATTTATGGACCCATGGTTATAGGAAAAAAAGACTTGTTTTGACTTCAAAAATACACCCCTAAATTTTTTGTACTAAATTTTAATTAACCCTGTATATAGAGCATTGATAATTTTTTGTTTAATATTACAATCAGTTTGTAAGTGTTTGCAAATGTTAAGGAAATCAAGTATAATAAATTATTAATTTAGTATAATAAAATATAATATAGAAAATACTGAACAAAATAGAAAAAGAAACAAAAATTATATAAAATATCTATTATATCTATGAAAATGAACATGCACAGATGACCAACAATGTAATTCTGACAAAAAAATGCAACTTTTCCAATTATTGTCCGGTTTGACTATCATTTCAGAGAACACAGCATGTATTATATTGTTTACACATTACACATAGAATCAACATGACTTATATCAGTACACAGTCAGCGCCCTAGAATAGACGATCATTGATAAGAGAGGTGCAAAAGTGCTGTGTTTTGTACGATACCTCTTACAGGGAATACCATCACAAAAAGATTAAGAAAAATGGGCGGGATGCACAATATGTTATTTATGCATTTACCAATGCCTAATAAAATAATGATCGTACATTCCGAATAAACTAGAAAAAAAGTAAAAAGTAAAAAAAATAGTCAGCTGCCGACTGTCATATGCGTCCTCATTAAAAGTAGGAAAGGAAGCAAAAAAATCTAAGTAATTAAAAAAATATATTAATCAATAATAAGCGTCGAACAATATAATAGCTGTTTTACATTGGCAATTTATTGATCAACTAATTCATGAAGTCGCTTCATCAAGAAATCGGACAAGTGTAATGCACCAAATTTGCTGTCAAATAACTTCATGAATTTATTCATCAAGTTCTTGACGAATTAGAGCATGTTCTAATTTTCGTCAATTTCTTCGTGAAGTTCGGAAGTACCAACCCAACAGATTTCCAGCCTCAGATCAGTAATGAGGTTATGTTATTGGAATATGTAAATAATTGTGTGGTCGTACTAGTTTTGCATTGTTTTTACTGATTTGTTACTTACAAACACTAATATTTACATAATATGTGTCAAAACGGTACCGCTGTTGTATCACTACAATTATGAGTGGAAAGGTGACATTTTTGAAATTTATTTGCTTCTTTGATTCGTTGATAGAACTGATTCAAACTTGACAAAGTCTGTAGCAGTGTAAAACCACGATTAATTCATGAAGAACTTCGTCAATTTATTCATCAATAAATTGTCAATGGAAATAAGGCACCAATTCGTTTGGTAGGTAGCATTAGGAAGAACAACATAAAATTCAATTCTGAATCAAACAAAATCGGGAACAAAAACAGAAAATGCAACAAAAGTTAAGCAATACAAAGGAAGCAGGGCAAAAGAGAAATATAGGAGGCCATATAAAAATTAAAGTTGAGGAAAGCACGAAGAGTTGGCGCAGAGATGATAAAATACATGGGAAATGATGAAATAGATAAGTTTACAGAACTATATAATGAGATAATGTGGACCACAGAGATACCAAGAGTGTGGAATATAGGAATCATAGTCTCCATGCACAAGAAAGGAGATAAAAGAGTATATGATAATTACAGGGGTATAACCTTAACAAGTACTGCAGTTGTAGGATCTTACACAAATATTATATACCTACTCTATATGTAATGGATAGTGGTAGTGCCGAATGACAAATGACACTGTTACTAATTTTACTAGTATAGGTTGGTACGACGGTGCAAACCTTTTTCATATCGTAGATTCTTATCAAACGAATCATAACAATGATTTCTATAACTATTTCTATCTAACTTGACTCAATCATACATATTCGACATCTCTAATAACCAAAAGAAATATCAAAATAATAAAATCAGTATAAAGTTATGAAAATATTGTAAAAAAGGAAAAATGAAGAGTAAAGAGAATTTGAAACAAAAATAGGAGTCAAGTAGCGATGTGTGTGATTCTACTGTTATTTTCAGAGATTTTAGATAAGGCAGCCAAAAATATCAAAAGAAAAGTTGCAGACTTTAAAACTACTAAATACTACTAAAAAGATCAAACAAAGATAAAGGTAAAGAGAAAGAACTTATGTTCGCAAATAATATGGTTATAATGGTACATTCAGAAAGGAGGTTATGGTGTTGGACCGAAATTAACAGAAAAAAACAAAAGTATAATAGTACAAGGGAAAATAAAACACATAACAAAACTACAAGAAAAGCAAATTGAATAAGTAAACAGTACTAAATATTTGTGATTTATAATTGAGAATAACAAAAAAAATAGACAAAGAAATCGACAATAGGATGGAAAAAAAGGAAAAAAAATACAGAATGAAAATTATATTTTTAGGGACGAAAGAAATGCTAGTAAAAAAGTAGATCCACAATAATATGTAGTAGTGAAATATGGACCATTTGGAGGCAGACACAAGACATGCCTAAATACCATGCAAATGAGATTTTGAGACGCAAAGAAAATAAAACAAAAAGAGGCATGATAATAAAAGATGTATCCAAACAAAACTTAAAACGTTGAACCCATAACCGGTAAGAGTGAAAACAATTACGGTGGTCAAGATGGTGGGCCAGGGTTGTATGTGTCATATGACAAGTGATAAATAAAAAAAATACAGTGAAGTTCCATTATAATAACATCCTAAGAGAGAGTAAAAACATGTTCCTACTAAACGGATGATGTAATGAGCAAACCAAAAATTAATCTGTTTCGAACCAAACTTAAGGAGGTTTATCGGCTCGGCTCGGCGTTCGCTCGCTCGCATTGGATCATTCTGTTTGTTTGGATGGTAGAAAATAAAGAAATTTTTCTGAAAAGGAAAACACAACTGAAAATGTGTACCATTTAAGAGTTTGTGAAGCGAGTGCAGGCAGAAATATATGAAGAGTTTAAGGATGCAAGCAAAACAAAAGTACAAAGCAATCTCTAACCTCAAAGAAGTGAAGAATTAATCCAAAATCGAGGGGCTTTATTTTATTTCAATAAATTTTATTCTTCTTGATTTTGTTTTTCTTCTTTTTCATGTTATTTACAATGCCTAAGCTTCAAATATACATCATTATTGTGTCACACATGCGAATTTCAAATAAGATACTAGGTCGAGAACCGCGGCGTTGCCGCTTTCACGCATAATGGAGGTTAAGTTAGTCAACGACAGCAGTTTGAAGGAGAATTATTATAAATTATGTATCTTACAAGTACCTAATCCATTTCTATGAGCTGTCATACGGTTCCTTATATATCGGTTTCATATTTATGCAAGTTGCTGTGGAAACTGTTCGTCAATTGTTCCGCATTCTAAGTGGAAAGACCAAAAAAATCTGCATCCTCATAAGACTCTGTACTAAATCGTGAAACATTATTTTATTAATATCTCGTCTCTTAGGTATCCAAACTAGTCATAATTCTTTTTGAGGATTTTCTTCATATTAATAAGCTTACATTAATTTTTTTATGAATATTTGTTTGTCAATTCCAAATCAGATAAACCTTCTTAAGGGTAGAAATATGTTGCAATATGCAGTCAGTTATTAAAAGCAGAGTAGTTGTAACGTTGTATATGAAATGTGAAGATAAATAGAAAGAATCAAACAAGCGCGCAGGACAGGAAAAGATAGAAAAATAAGTTGAGAGACCACCCCAACAACAAACTCAATTCTGCTCACCTTAGGAGTGGTAGAAAATAAATAAGATTATGTAAATAAATAAATGTTATCTGTATACAGAACGTAGCATAGCATGAAAGTAACCCAATAAATTACACATTATTGTACTGGAAGTTAATTTGAATGATCTGCATCACAAGAATTTTAACTGTGCTTGTTCGGAAGCTAATACAAACTGTAACTCACCTGCAAATCTGCAGTTAGACCCCCTCTGAACACCCAAGGTTCTTGGTCTCCACTCATAAACGTTTCTTTCCAACCTTTAGAGAACCCTACATATACAAGAAACTATATTAACAAACGATGAATCACTAAAACAATCGCTAACGCATCGCTCCTTGCAGATAATTTACGCTGTGTGCCTAATACTATTCATTAGTGATTAATTACAACTCTACGCAGCGCTGCATATCACAGTACTTACCCATATCAATTAATTCGGCAACCAGAAACTCACAGAAGAAATAAAGAATTTTAAATATTATGGATTATAACTGATCGTTAATAATAATTAATCTTTTGAATTTCTGGTTCCTTTATTTTAGATTTACGCTTTGCTAGTATTAATGAGTTACGCCAAAAAAAAAACTATTACGCCAAAATGCAATATCAGCAGCTGCATATACTAAATTCCTTGGAAGATGCATACATGTATACGTCCCCTGGGTGTACGAAGGCATTGAAGGAGGAAACTGACCGCCAGCTTAGGAAAAATAAATATTGATTAATAATCTGGACTCACTCTGGTTGAATTTCTTGTTGTAGATAAATAAAGAAAAAACAATTTGTTTGGACGGAAATAATTGCTGTTTCTTTATTTGATGCACTTAGAAGTCTATGCTTGTGTTAGAAATAAAAAATACAAAGTATTTTAAAATTCGATTTAGAGAATTATTCTTGCAAAAAGAAAAGCACTAGACAACGAATATATTCATTTTCACACAAGCATAAAGTGCTAACTAGCTAAAATAAAATTACAATGAACAGAAGAAATGCATTTTATAATTTGAAAATTTCAAATGGCATCCGAAAATCTATTACTTTCTGAGCATTTTACTCAGTTACGCTTTAGCAAGGCACACACATTACGCAAACTCAAAACCCTGGTTGCCTCTCTCTTTGGTCACCTCAAGCTGAAACACTAAAATTTCTCTGAAACGACTTTAATAATTACGCACTCTGCTATCGATACACCTTGTATAATAAACGAATACGAGATATAAGTACGCTGCACTCTACGCAATAATCGCCCAAAAAGTAACAGAACGTGATTCTTTCAAGTCAATCGTATGCATTATAAAATACATTTTATTAGCATCGTTACTTCTCAAAAAAGAAATACTTACCTAACCATTTGATATATGCATTGAGCAATGAGATCACGCCCCCAATATCCCAAATATACGAGTACAAATCGTACAGTAACTCTCTATTATTACAGGTGGACATGTGTTGAAAAAGTTTATTAACTGATCGTGTCATTTCGTTCATTCTTTCGGCCCTCGCGAACCATTCTTGGACCTAAAAATACCAAAACTATGGATAGGGAAGGTTTTTTTAATTTACAATTATTACTTCGCATACCTCGGGACTAGATGTGTCTTTCTTTTGATTAGCTGCTATAACTAGATGAGCATTTGATTTTAACCAGTTAAACTCTTGTAACAGCTGTAGTCCTTGACCACCGTGTTCAAAAGGCAGGTAAAATAAATCACATAGTAAGGCTAGATCTTCGTACGTTAGATCTGTTGACTTTCTGTTAAAAAAAAAAATGAATTTTATATGAAATACTTAACTAAAAATATTCTTGTTGTAATAAGAAGCAAAAATATTGTAAAAATAAAACAATAATCATAATAATACTAATTTTAACCGTAAGATTGGAAGAAACTTTATCTTACCTATCGCCGTCTCCATCAACACTAATTTCAGTCACCATTTGATTAGCATCCACTTGCATGCTGCCACTTGAAGTCTACAAATAAAAAATATTATAACTGAAGAAGTTTTAGCCTTTATAGAAACTTAATAGTACATTTTTTTTACAATAAATTTCATAAAAGAACATTCGATTACAATTTTCCGAGTTAAATGAGTCACTATATCAGTCTTATCTTCGAATAATAGTATTTTTAGTATAGTTGTTACGATATCAATTGGAACTTCTCTTGGAATTTTATCCTATGCTTTAGCCATGATCTGTCTCGTAATTTATACTCGAATAGCCACTGGGCGAGTCCGGTATTGGTAGACCAGTCTGCCTGATGTAAAATCGACGGCGGCACTCTGGTCGTCAAAGCAAACCTGTATTGGTCCACTAGGCCGTAAATCATTATTTGCATGGTACTCTATAATTAGTTTGGTGTCGAACGCGGTCCACTTGGCTCTGCCAGTGCAGTGGAAAGCAGTACTTGGCGTGGTATATTTATTGTTGATATAATGCGTATTATTAATTGTTAGTTAATATTATTATTTGTTCATATCGTAACCAGTAAAGGGTAATAGTTATTAAAATATTATATTTAATTATCTAGTAATTTTGTATGGTAATGGACTGAGACAGAACACAGGAAATAATGGACTTCAAGGTCAGGACATAGCCATTCTAAGGAGCTCATGGAGCATCCTTTGAAGGAAAGAGCAAACGATTTACTGAGCTTGAACAAAATCCGGCTCAGGAGAGTGATAGGACTCATAACGGGACACTGTCACTTTAGTAAACATCTACATAAGCTAAAGCTTGTAGACAGTCCGGTCTGCCGAGGATGTGAATCGGCGGATAAAACTTCTCTNAAAAATATTTAAAATTATAGTTATTTAAAATTAAATTGCATTAGTTTCACCTTATCAGTTTGACAACTCCCAGGCTACTTAATATTTCGAAGAAAGTGAGAAATGACTAATATCAAAATGTAATCAAATCAAATATGGCAATATATCAGTGTTAGTAGTATAAAAAAATCTATATATACTTCATTTGAGAAGGCCATTATGGACGCGCCTCGGGATATAAAGGTGCTCGGTAAGTAATAACTCCTCAATCTGAGTACCTGTACTTTATTTATACTTAATTGCTCAAGATTTATGTCCTGAAGATAGAAAAGATTAAAAAATTTTAATTGAAAATTTAAAAAAGCAAGATCTAAAAACTATCTAGCTAAAATAAGAGGTAAAATACTGGAAGTTAATGGTGAAACGTATACGGTATCCCAACTCCAAGAATTAGAAAGGCAATCCTATTTTCAAAATGAAGAGGAATTCCCATCTCCAGTAGTATATAATAAAAGTAATAGTGCGCCCACAACACCAACACCACCGGTTTCCAACGCTGAAAAAGACAATAAAGATATTCTGGAAGAAGCTCAAATCGGTCTAAAGTAAGCGAAACAAAAACATAAAACAAAGTTGCAGGATTCAAAAATAAACACGACTCCTATCGGCAAGAAAAAGGAAGAAGAAAAAAAAAACAATTCAAAGAACAAATTCTATAAGCAGCGTAAAAAGTGACAAATCCGATCAACAATTAAGAAACATTAGGAAATAAACATTAACTTTCTCTTTATTTGTACTATTGTAATTAAAATTAATATTTACATTAAATAATGGATAATTATGTGAGATACTTTGACACTGATGAAATAAAAACACTTGAGGTAGATACGTAGATACTATAACACAGGCAAAACAAATACTTAACGAAATAAATTCTTTAAATATATTCCACACCAACATTAGAAGTATTTCAAAAAACTTCAATGAAGTTGAAGTAGTTTTTAACGAATTTGAAAATATATATGATATAATTGTTTTAACAGAAGTCTGGCATATACATAATGATAATCTATTTGACATACAATTTGATTGTGAATTGATAATTCACCTGATATGATATGACAACCGGATACAACTTTGTAGGTGAAATATTAGTTTTTACCGGAAACGAAATAGAATTGGTACAGTGGCAGTTGAATATTTTTAATTTTGTAGTAAAATTTAAAGCGGTAGTGAGATGTCTTGTGTAGTGTAGATGTATACCCTTACACAAAGGGTGAACCAAAAATAACCGGATGAAATTTGCTGCATGCGCCACTCTTGTAGATCGGGCTTTTCCTGCTAGATGCGTGTTACGTAACCCCTCCTGAGTCAGTCTGCCAAGTGGCATCACTTGAGACGGTTGCAGCAAGTCCCTGAGACAGTTTTCCTGCAATGACTAATTTGAGCTCTTCGATTTTTTAAAATGGTTGAGAGTTCGAGAACAGCGTGTGGCATTGAAATTTTGTTTTCTGCTCGATAAAAATGAATCGGACGCGCGGTCCATATGTTGTCTACAGCTTATAAAGAACATGCCTTGAAAAGAACTCAAGTGTACGAGTGGTATTCGCGATTTGAACATAGGGGCATGTCGGCCCTCCACGTCCAGAACTGATGAAAACGTAGAAAAAATTTGCATGCCTATGTAGAAGGATAGATGACGTACTATTGATACAATTGCTGAATTATCTGGTCTTTCGTGGAGCTCAGTGCAACACAATTTAGCCAATGATTTGCAAATGATACAAATTGCTGCAAAATTCGTCCCCCACTGCTTGCTGTGACTTGTTGGACTACTTGGAAGTAGGCGAGAACTGTTTCTATAAAATCATCACTGGGAATGGGTACGACCTGAGACATAGCAACAGTCGTCGCAGTGGAAGGCTATGAACTCCCCCTCGCTGGAAAAAAACCCGGCAAGTCAAATCGGCAGTGAAGACAATGTTGATAAGTTTTTTTGACGTTCGTGGCATTGTCCACTCAGAGTATTCCCCTGAGCGTCAAATAGTGAACCAATTTTTCTCCCTGAGTGTTTTGAGACAGTTGCATGAGAGTGTTCTATTGAAACTACCCGATTTGTGGCGGAGTAAGGACTGGTTCTTCCACCATGACAATGCTCCACCTCATATAGACATCTCTATGTGTGATTTTTTGGCGAAAAACCACGACACCACTTCCTCACCCACCCTACTCACCTGATCTGGCACCCTGTGATTTATTTTTGTTCCCCCGGATGAAAAGGAGCTGAAAAGGAAACGTTTTGCAGATATTCCGGAAATGAAACGAAAATCGAAGGTGGCGCTGCAAGGCATCAGAAAGGACAAGTGGAAAAAACGTTTGAACCAGTGTATTAGTATTAATGGAGAGTACTTTGAAGTAGTGATGTAAAATAGCATGCTATTTAGTTTTGGGTGATATATATCAAAATATATATCATTATATATATCAGATGAATTTTGTTAAAAAAAAACTATATTCAAATTAGTTTTTTTATATTGCTAATGCCTTGCTGATTAATTTGACACCAAATACATGTCATATATATGAACTTTAAGAAAAGTTATCAAGTGATCTTTTTTTTTTTTCATATTTAGATTGGAATTTTATATTTTTTTTATCATACTGACTTCTAATTTTTGTTGCGTGCTACTGACTGTTTATAAGCAAGTACGCTGTTTATTAGCAATTTAGTTTTATCAACCCAGAAATAAAAAATGGGAAATTTCTAGAACAAGAAAATTTAGTCTTTGTATATCACAATACGTACTTAAAAAAAATTAAAGATAAAAATTGAAATAAAAATTATCAAAAACTTATGATAATAAAGAAACTGCTTTAAAGTAGTACTTAAAAATCTGAAAATTTAGGGGTGTACTATAAATGGGGAGACCTAAGAGCGCACGTAATTTCAACTCACCCCTTCCACCCTAGGGGGTGGGGTGAAGGTTTTTTTTAGACGTACCCTATTTATTTTGCGATTTTCGGATTGTACGCGTAAAACTACCCCCAGAAACGCGTTCTTGGGGGTACGTCTAAAAGACCACCCCTCACCCCCTCTGCACCTACTAAGGTGGAAAGGGCCAGTTGAAATCAGGTTCGCTCTTAGGTCTCCCCACTTATAGTACACCCCTAAAATTTCAGATTTCTATATTTATTTTTGAAGGAGAAAAATGCTCATCGAAAAAACGACAAAATCCATACGAGGGTGGTGGTTTGGTTTTTGTGCGAATTCGGCAAGAACGCGCTTTCGGGGGTAGTTTTACGCATAGAATCCGAAACTCGCAAAATGAGTAGGGTACATCTAAAAAAACCACCCGTCACCCCCTAGGGTGGAAGGGGTGACTTGAAATTACGTGCGCTCTTAGTTCTTCCCATCTATAGTACACCCCTAAAATTTCAGATTTTTATATTCATTTTTGACGGAGATATTCCAGGTACCCAAGAGCTACTACAGTCCAACTCAAGCCTACCACACCACAAGTTTTTAGTTTTAAAATGTAAGGTTATGTTTGAAATTTGGCTTTATTCATGAAATGGCGGGAAAATTGATATATATCAGCTATTAACATATATATAATAGCTGATATGTATCAAAAATTGATATATATCAATTTGTTATATATTTTCACTCACATCACTACGAAGGTAACTGACGCCTGTAATTTGTGTTTAGTGATGGTGCAGTATGTTTGTGTCTTCATTGTGAAAAAAAAACATGTATACAAATAAAAAAAGATGAAACTGAACAGTACATAGCTCGCACAAAATTTAGTTTAATCGTATGTTAATCGTATTGTAACTGTATTGACATTTGCAGTAAATTTAAAATTTGTTATACGGATGTCGCGTGTATAATCTATAAAAATTAAACTACAGCTTCCTAACAATATTTGTAATAGAAAAGTCTTATACGGAAAAGTTCTATTTTTGCGTTTTTTTTTTTTTGTAAATTAAAGTTCAATTATGGATTTATGGATCAAAATATTTTCTCTGAAACGGTCCTGTCCGTGTGCTGTACGATGAGTTACATGCTGTAGACCAGCCGCGTAAACAAATCATCGTTGAAAGATGGAAAGATACTTCTCAATTTTTGGGGAATTTTTCAATGCAAAAGTACAAACTAAGAAAAATAGATATTTAAAAAAAACTGATATTTTCTTATTATAATAATTAATAGTAATTACTGTTCTTGAATGCACTGTTGTTTCTGCAAGAGTTCGCAAACAAAACCACATCCGTAAGCACATCCTGTAGTTGCCAACTGCGTGCACTAAACAAACTCCATTAAAATATGGAACAAAATGAAATAAAACCATTTCTAGAGAAAATGTTGAAATTGGCACCGACGCACCCAATTTTGACGAATATTTTCCCAAATTCCAGGTATTCCCCTAATTGTGTCAGCAGTGTCAAGTAAGTATACGGTTTCACAATTCTTCCACCGTAGCAATTAGAGACCAATGACTTCAAGTGACTTCAAAGATAAAAGTCCATTGGAGTTAGATCGAGTGACCGAGGTGGCCACGGCACAGGACCAAAGCGTCCAATCCATCGCTGAGGAAACATTTCATTCAAAAGTGTCGTTACTTCTTGAGTACTGTGTGGAGGAGCCCCATCTTAAAGATAAAACATGCGTGCCCGAACTTGTAATGCCACATCATCCAATAATTCAGGCAACCAGTTCTCCAAAAAGTCAGCATATGTTGCTCCATTTAGTCGTCCTTCAAAGAAATAGGGACCCACAAGTATATCGCCTATTATGCCAGCCCAAACATTTACCGAGAACCGATGTTGAAAATGAGTTTCCCTAATCTCTTGAGGCTTTCCATCGCATATTATGGAAATTCACTTCATCACAGGTAAATGTCGCCTGATCTGTTAAACAAACATAAGCAGGAAATTCTACTTGATTGGCACATTGCCATAAAAACCATCTGCCAAAACGCATTCACATTGATCACAATCCGGGGGTAAAATCTGTTGAACTGGTTGCAGATGATAGGGGTGCAACAGCTGGTGCCTTAAAATGTGATGTACAGTGGGAAATGACGTTCCTACTTGCTGTGCGAGTCATCGAGTACTAATTGTGGGGTCTTCATCATTATTTTCCAACATTGCATCCTCAACATTAAGGTTCACTTGCTGACCACGTCCTTCTTTTCGAGGAATAACACTTCCCATATCTCGCAGCCGCTGAACACACTGTAGGATTATATTTGCACATGGGGGGTGATGTTGTGGCCAGCGTTCCCGGTACAACTTAGTCACCGCGAGCGCATTTTCTCCCGCTGCACCATACACTAACACCATATCGACACATTCGGAAATAGTAACAGCATTGTTTTCTTGGTTCATTGTAAAACTAGTTTGTGCACAAACTAAAAAATTAAGCAAAGTAAGAAATAAGAATCTCGTTTTTAATGCAATCGACACGCTATTCTTATTTTTTACTTCTTTATAAAAATTACACTGCCACTATCGTGGAATTACAAAATAAAAACTTTTGTCTGGAATCTTTCACTTTTTAACACTGATGGGTCGATGGACGATGCTTAAAATTTAATAGTTAAGTATTAGATTATACCGACTTAAATTATAAGGTTGCATCTCAGGTCGCATAAAAACATTTCCAAAGTTGATAATAAATAACACAGGGTCGGCCTTCATTTTTGTTGAATAAATTAACTTCAATTTACAAAAAAAAAAACACGAACTTTTTCGTATAAGAGTTTTCTAATACAAATATCATTAGGAAGCTGTAGTTTAATAATAATAATAGATAATAGATTATACATGCCATACCCTGTATTAACAAAATTTTAAAAGAGAAATATTAATTTATATTCATTTATATAACTTACCGAATTCTCACTCATGGCCACATCTTCATTCGACCCATTTGAACACTTCGCCCCGTGAGCCGGTGATATATTCGGAGTACTATTACAATCCATCGGTTCCGATGGACTTAAACTAGATTCGTTACTTAAACTAGTATCGGTGTTCATGCTGGTCTCGTCTTTATTCTCTTTTACGTGGTTTGTATTTGTACTATTATGAAGTTGATCGCCATTCAAGGCCACTTCCTCTGGTTTTGTCTTTTCTGGTCTGATATGAGTTCCATTTAGAAGGGTAACAGTCTTGCTGTCAGAGCTGTCGATCGCTACGGGGATGGGAACTGGTGTGATGGGATTCGGTATAGATTCATTACAAATCACCTTCGTGTCAGAAACTAGGGAGTTCATCACGGGACCTGGTACTGGGTTGATTAAGCTCTCTGTACAGGTAACCTTGAAAATTCGGAAAATTAAATGATATTCATATCAACGCTCCATCATCCAATAAGATAAACGGTGCTAGTTAAAAAAATATACTTACAGTACTACATACTTCAGCCAATGCATGCAGTTGATTAGAGTTCACCACAGTGGAAGTGTTTCCTGTAGATGGTGTGCTAGTTGTGGAAGTAATACTCATACATGTGTTAATTGATGGTATTATTGGCACTGGCACAACTGCAATAAATTTGTTAGTTTAGTTTTCGATAATAAATGAGGGTAATTCTTTAGATGGATTTATGTAATTGTTGACACTGCCCACAGTTTTAGGCCAAGCATCCTCAGAAGTGGTGCAGATATGGCGATGGCATGGTTCTGGCGAGTAACAATGCCTCCCGGATCCTAATGGACTAAGTTAGGAAACAAAAATCAGTCTTACTTTAACTTATTAAATAGCATAGCTTATAAAACCAACAGATCATAGAACATGAAGACCCGACAGCAGAAGCCTAGTTCAATGACAGTGTAACAACGAAAAGTAAAGGATATGAAAGTATATAAAAAGAGTAAACTATATTACGACTTGGCCTTCAGGCTTGGTAGATTAATTTTCAGTTTGCTTATTACATTATCCTTTTAACCTGATACAATTTCACTGTCCCTTGGGATGTCGTTATAAGCGAGTTCCATTACATATTTAGTGATTTCATCAACTAAGAAACGTTTAATAAAAAATATTTATTTTTTATGTAGCGTGTATACAGTTTTCCGAGTTAATTTGTGCTTACAAAAACAGTAGAAAAAAATTAATATTAGTTTTAATTAGTAATGGCAAAAATGATTTTTAAAATAATCAATATACGAGGATGATTCAAATATAAACGAGAATGTCAAGGTGGACATCTTGAAAGGACACGGATAGGGAATGTTGGTAGGAATAGGACGAGTGGGGGATCGTAGTCGACACAGCCATAAGACCATTAGCCAAGTAGTGGCAAAGATAAGCAAGAAGGAAGTACACCCATCTGTTGCGCAACCAATTATCATAAAATTTTTGACGCGGGAGGGGCCCTGCTGTTTTGTAGAGATTGCTACAGCAGTTTGCTGAAAACACTCTTTCACAACCCTGTGTGTTTTTTGGCACAAAGCCTTCTCTGAAGGACGAAAGAAGGTTGAAAATGAATCTCACAATCGGCGGCCCAGAACAAGCTTAACTGATGGACACATTCAAGCAGTTTGTGACCTTCTGGAGAACGACCATTACCTGACAGTGGCAGAAATTGCATGTGAAGTGAAGATCAGTGTCCAGAGTATCCATACCATCATCCGTGATGAGCTTGGTTTGTCAAAAGTGTTGGCTTGTTGGGTGCCATGCCTTCTCTCGGGGGACTAGAAGAATGTCCGTCTGCCAACGGCATTTGCAACGGTACCGTACTGAAGGGGACGCATTTCTCATCCGTATAGTGACCTGCGATAAGACTTGGGTCGGCAAGCAAGCATGGAATGGTGAAAAAAGGAGAGGCCGCTCCACTCAAGGCCAAATCGTGCTTGTCAGCGGGTAAAGTTCTCCCTAGAGTTTTTTGGGACTCAAAAGGAATCCTTCTGTTGGATATTCTACACGAGCAGAGAACAATCAATGCTGGTTACTACTGCAGACTTCTTGAGCAGATTAGGGCCGCTTATCCAAGCAAAAGACGCCGCCAACCCATAAGGAACATCATTTTGCTTCACGATAATGCTCAACCCCATACAGCAAATCAAACAGGCCAGAAATTGGAAGAAATGTTCTGGAAAAGTCTTGAACACCCACCCTACAGTCCGGACTTGTCCCCTTGTGATTATCACATGTTCGGGCCATTGAAAGAGGCTTTGGGAGGGCAGTGTTTCGCTGGTGACGCAGAGGTGGAAACATTCGTGCGCAACTGGCTAACGAACCGCCATTCTTCTTTCTACAGCTTCTAATCAGGTGGAAAAAATGTGTTTCAAAGGAAGGTGATTATGTAGAAAAATTAGAAATTTTTTGTGAACTTAATTTTATCAATAATAAAAAAAAAAATTAATTATCGTTTATATTTGAATGACCCTCGTATTTTAATTATTGTAGTAAAATCATTATTTACAGTTGGCAATAATTATTCTTCTTTCTTAAATATGATCAAAGGTAACACTTTATGAGGAGTTCTATAAATTGTTCTTTTTTAATTATTCAAATAATGGACAAAGGGTCTAAAATCTGGTAAGTAGAGTATACAACCAGAATAAGATGGCAGTTATTATATATTATAAAGTACAAAAACAGTTGTTAAAAATATGCAATACATATAACAAAAGACTAATCCAAAGAAATATGTTTATTTTAATGACTGAAAAAACACTAAAATTTACCAGTCACACTGAGGTAAATTAACGATTTTTAAGTAATAAAACATTTAGCCATTACTAGCTTTAACTATATAGTATTTATAGTCAAAGACTGACTGTCTGAAATGCTCTGAATGTTATATCTTTATTTGCTGAGACAGAAATATTTTGAGTCTAAACTGTTATATGAAAAATAGGCAGGATTTGTATTGGGCCCATTAAAATCTAAGTCCTGGGACCTGTTTTTTTAAGTATGTACTTTTCAACTTTTCACTCCTTACTTTTCACTTTTCTGGCTATTTTGTTTTCAAAATTAATATTCAAAAAACAGTTGGTAATCTGCACAGTGACAATGAATAACTGAAGCTTCTTAAAATGCGTAACATTTATATAAAGTACAATTTTTTATAAAACAGAATTATTCTTTGTTTTTCTACATTTGTAAAATGAAAAGTGAAAAGTTGAAAAGTACTTAAAAAAAAATTAAAAAATATGTCCTATATGAGAGTCTTGTGGCACACTTAACATCGCTGTGAATTTGTTCGGTATAAAATTCCCGAAACTAATCATCTAAAAGATACAGATTTAGAAAAAAACCATAAGCTCCAAGTAGACGAAGCTTTTGGATTAAAATATTATAATTTACTCTATCAAAGATCTCTATCCAGCCTTCAAGATATTTGATAAGCAGTAGTGAAGTACTGGAAGACACCTTCACTAAGAACCCTACACTTTCGATTCTGCTAAGTATTTTCAAAAAAATGAAATGGGCTGATCCAATTTGCAAAATACTCAGTGGCATCAAAATTCTGATATTCTTGGTAACTATCTTCCAGTATATCTACCACCGATTCATATTAAATGCATACTTTAATAAATTTTCATCTTCAGTTATTTGTTACAATATTTGTTTATATGTGACAATTTTCTGATATTTTTACATTTTATGTCTTGAAAACTTGACTATTTAGAACATATATATTTAGGAACTTTTTTATTAAAGCAGTCTAAAGAATCACCCCCTTTATTATAGAAGTTTACTTCAGGTCCCTTCCTCCATTTATACCACAATACTGCTTATTTAGCAATAGTAATTTACCACCAATAAGAAACTGTTTGATGAGTTGTCTGTTCTAAAAACATTTTCAACTTAAATATATAAAAGTGCTATATATACCTCACAAATTTATCACTTCTGAAAGTAGTTATAATTAGGCATCCTTACCAGCAACTGCAGGTTGAGGTTTAGCAATTGGCCCCCAAGCTGACTTGCGCTTCTCAAATTCTGGAAGCCATTCATTGATGGCATTCCTTAAAGCTTGACGTGGATGGTACATATTTGGCGATAGAGTAGCAGGTACATCTTCTCCTGACATACCATCTTCAGTCTCAGTCTCTAATTTTATATCTGCAGAAACGGTGTCGTCTAAAAATATTATATTCAACAAAAAAGGTACTTATATAAATTATTTTACAAATGTATATTACAAATATTTTCCAATTTTTTATTTTTGATCGTTTTATATGAAAAATAACAGGTGCAAAATATTTGACTTTGAAATGTTGTGCAGTTTGTTGAAGTGAAAATTAGAACGATTTTTCTAAAGCCCACTTAAAAATGCTCAAGAGTTGAAAGGCCTTTAAGAGCAGCAGATTCGTTCTTAGGCTGAGACATACACGTTAATTTTTGGAAAAGCTTACAAATAGCACAATGGAGCTTCGATTATCAGAGGTAACTGGAATAATTGAAAACTCAAATAAGCTAGATTGTCCTTCAACAGGCATAACAATTATTTTTTCTACTTATTTTGCTCCGTATCACAAATATGTAACACTTCAATTCAAAGAGATGCAATGGCAAATACAATGCCAACTCAGACATGTAGGAAAAGGCACGAAAATCCAAACCCCTTGTCGTAATTTGATTAATGCGAAGTTCCAATAATCAAGTAGTCCTGGCCAGTCCCAATGATGGGATAATCTGAACCTCGGATAACAGGGACTGTACTACTGTATATGGTAAACATATAAATGTAGACTTTTTATTTCAGTAGCACTAGTTCTTATTTAACAATTGCAGGAACACTTATTATGTATTAAATTATGTTCTTAAATATGGGCATGAAAAAGCTACACTGGATGCTAGTCCATCCAAATGTCAAATGTGCATCACCACAACAAATATGTGAAAAAGATAAACTTATAGATATGTACCTGTAAAACAAGAATAAATAATGTGTCTTCAAAGTTTGTTGCAGCAGAGCCACTTGTTCAGAAATCTCTTTCAATATTAAAAATCAGTTTACTGCATTTCATAAATAAAACATGAAATAAATTAAACAATTTCCAATTCAAATGCAATTGAAATTCCTAGTTCTGAAGTTTGCAGTACAAATGTTGTCATTCCCATATTTTCTATTATTTATAGCAACTCTTTTGAATAATAGTAATAACAAAAAAAAAAGTAATTACACTGTTTACTGACTTTATCTTATTATTTTATAATTTTTGTTTATACATTTGACTTATGAGAATGGTTTTATTTGAGAAATAATTGTTTCCTTAACATATTAAAAATAAATGTGTATAGATAAAATCACGTACTTATTGAAGGATCCCTTTGGGCATCTACATTACACCTTGACCACTGAGCTAAAGTGTGTATTGCTACGAAATTGGCCCCATATTCACAATTAGGGTTTGTCAAAACACCCCTTAATTTTGGGATTAGATCAGGCGATCTGCCTGAATAAGGCCCTAGAAAAACTCTCTTCTGGTCATAATCATTGGCATGCAAATTGTCCCATATAACCGGAGGTCTACGTAGAACCTCTGTGATTTCCTGAATGTTTTCTTTAGAAAGTGTCCTAGAAATTACTTTTTGCCCTAAAAAAAAATTATAGCATATTGGTAACAATAATGACGATCATACCACCTCAAAGCTTTTTCACCAGGCTTTCATCCCATATTTAAAACCTTTAAAATATTATCAAAGAACTGTTATAAATCAAGTTGCATTAGCACATCTTTAGTTTAATAGATAACTAATTGAAAAATATGTCTAAAGAGTGGAAATATTTTGATTTGGCAGGAAAAAACCTTAAAGTTTAATTATGGAATATTACTGAGGAATATGTTAACACAAAATAGTTGCATACTAAATTTATTTATATCTCATGATCTATTTTCGTAAACAATTACCCAGCTATTTTCGATCATTTCTGAAAAACTTACGTCACTATAGCTGTGGCCTCGGTTGTAACCGTGTAAATGGCATATCATCCACTTTTCTGTAGTAAACCGAAAAATTATGGTTCAGTTTTAAGTAATCATAGTTCTACTTTAGTTTTCATTGCAAAAAAGTATATATTTTTTATAATGAAAATTAGTAGTGAACAATTGCTTTCGTAGTAATTTATTTTTATAGATTCTTACTTTTAAATATATTTTCTTTTTGTGAAAGGACCATGTGCCTAAATGTGTACTAAAATAGTTTATCGGTACAGGAACAATGAATTAATGGTAGTAATATATAGAAACACTTGTAAACAGAGTAAGTAAACTATCAGTCAGCATTAAAAAAAATATTTTATATGCGGAAATTCTTTTTACCAATTGAATTTCTTACTTTGGTTTATTTACTCTTCAAAAATCCTCTCAAAGTTTGTAAACACCCTGTATACAGCTTAAAGATGTTTTATACAGGGTGTTTCAGGATTAAGTCGACAAACTTTATGGAGATATTCCTCATAAAAAAAATAAGAAAAAAATCAAGTATAATTTTTTTCCAGAGACGCTTCATTTTCGAAATATGGAGCGTTAAAGATTTTAAAAAAATTTTGAATTTTTTAAATAACTTCTAATTGAAGAAGGCTATTTAAGCCAAATTTGGCATGACACATCTTCTTATAAGATACCATTTTTCCATAGAAGTAGAAGTCCCGCAAGCAACAAGTGGCGGAGTTATGGGGACTCAGACTCATTAAATTTTAGATAGAACAGTTTGTTATTGACAAAAAGTGTACATTCACTTTTTTTCCTAACTCATAGTTTCATGGCAAAATTGATTATTCGGAAGGGTGCTTCTGGATTCTGTCGATAAACTTTAAAATGAACCTCAACAAAAATTTCCGAGTAGGCTGCTGTCAAGCAATGTTAATTTGATGTTTTAAATGTTATTTTGCGAATTGTTGCATAAATTATCCATTAGATAAAGCGTTCAAACTAATAATAAAAATAAGTTTAATAATGCCGTCCATATTTTCAAACAATGAATATGCTGATATGGTCTTTGTATATAGTTTCTGTGATGGAAATTCCACGGCGGCTCGCCGTGAATATGCAGTATGATTTCCTCATTGCACACTACCATCAAAGGAAACATTTTCAACGACATTCAGTCGTCTCAGACAAACAGGGTCTTTCGGTATTCCAACTTATGCTGATGGACATTTTGCACCACTTCAGGACGAAATAAGATCGAATACTATTTTAAACCATTTCGATGAAAATTCATCCACGAGTGTCAGAAGATCTAGCTATGAGCTAGGTATTTCGTAAAATTCCATTTGGAGGACTCTTCGGGCTGATGGACGCCATGCGTACCATATCCAGCATGTGCAACATTTATTGCCTCAGGACATACGATGCAGACGTGTGTTTTGTGACTGGATGTTAAACCAAGCAGATAATGATGATCAGTTTATGCAAAAAGTAATGTGGACAGATGAGGTAACATTTACTCGAAGGGGAATTTTAAACCAAAGGAACAACCATATTTGGTCTTATGAGAATCCACGGGCGGTAAGGGAACATAGTTTTCTGCATGAATTCCAATGTAACGTATGGTTGGGTGTGTTGGACAACATTATAGTTGGTCCCTACTTCCTTCCGCATCGGTTAAATGCTGACATGTATACAGAGTTCCTTGAAAATGGTTTTCAAGATCTGTTAGAAGATGTTCCGCTTAATACTCGAATGAACAGTTGGTTTCAACTAGATGGTTGTCCTGCCCATTATGGTAGAGGTCCTAGGGAGTGGTTAAACATTAATTATCCCAGGAGATGGATTGGTCGCGGAGGACCTGCAGTGTGGCCCGCACGTTCACCGGACTTGACACCGATGGATTATTTTGTTTGGGGTGCTATTAAACAAAAAGTATATGAGGTGCCAGTTGATACCCTAGAAGATCTAAGACAGCGAATAGTCCAAGCGTGTCGAGAATTAACTCCAATTCAGTGTCAATCGGCCACTACCTCCATAATTAAAAGATGTCGTGCTTGTCTACAGTCCGGAGGCACCCATTTTGAACAAAATATTTTTTAAATCATTTCATTTTTGATTCACTTTTCACTTTGTCTAGGTATAATATTAATTGATAATTTTTTGGTTGTTTCAATTTAAATAAATTTTCATACATTATTTGCCATCTTATTTTATTTAAAAGTACACAACACAAGTAAATGTAGACTACAAACCGCCTGAAAAAAATTAGGAGTATTGCAAGGGTCGTTACTTTGTCGCATTAGACATAATCACATTAGATGTTAGGTACTTAAACATTTCCATTGTTTTCTTCATTTTTTTTTTCTAAAAAAAAACGCCCTATATCTCAAAACCGAAGCATCTCCTAAATAATTTTAATACTATTGGTTAAACCCAAGGAAAGGGGAGACCAATTTTAATAGGTACTATATTTTTTTAGGTTTTATGATTTCTAAAGTTTATCGACAGAATCCAGAAGCATCCTTCCGAAAAATCAATTTTGCCATGAAACTATGAGTTAGGCAAAAAAGTGAATGTACACTTTTTGTCAATAACAAACTGTTCTATCTAAAAACAGCATCATTTTTATTTTCAGTAGGGCCGTATTAATTTTTTTTATAATTTAATGAGTCTGAGTCCCTATAACTCCGCCACTGGTTGCTTGTGGGACTTGTACTTCTATGGAAAAATGGTATCTTATAAGATGTGTCATGCCAAATTTGGCTTAAATAGTCTTCTTCATTTAGAAGTTATTTAAAAAATTAGAATTTTTTAAAAAATCTTTAACGCCCTATATTTCAAAAATGAAGCGTCTGGAAAAAAATTTATACTTGATTTTTTTCTTATTTTTTTATGAGGAATATCTCCTTAAAGTTTGTCGACTTAATCTTGAAACACCCTGTATATCACAAAAATTAAATAAATGTCTAGTACTTTAACAACAACCATTAAATTTATATAAACTGTTTTCTGTGTTTGAATAAAAAAATAAATTCACTCACCAGTCCACATTATATCAATCTCTTGAGCTAATTTTGAACCTAAGGTGTTTAAATACTCGGAGTTGGTTACATTGGGTATAGCCCTAGTTGAACAGTACTGCGTTGGACACAGTAAGAATCGTGGTTGGCCTAAATGCTGATAACATTCATTTGTAACGGAGACCTGGGCTTGTGCGAATGACTGAAAAATTTCTTTATCTGCTTCAGACATTTCAGGTTCTATATCATCGAACAACAAAGCAAAAGCATTACAACCAAATTGGGCCACTTGTTCTAGTTTCCGTTTTAGGGCAGTTACTTCTTTTGAACTACTGTATGTTATATCTAAACCGGGAGACAAAGCATAGTAAAACATAATATTTTGATCTTTAGCTGCTTGAATTAAACCAGTTAGATGCTCCGCTTCCTCAACCGTATAAAGTTCTCTCCAGTAAGCTCTATGTTTATAATCATCTTTCGGTGCATATACATATGAGTCCATTCCCCATTTTTTCATCCTTATTAAAAGAAAAAAATTATATAAATGCATTTAATGAAAAATTATGTGCTACTTACTTTTGAAATAAATCTTTTCTCTGTTCTGTAGTCCATGGTCTTCCATAAAAACCTAAAATAATTGGAAATGTAATAAATTAAAGAGCCAGTTGAAGGACCATTTTTTATTTGTTTATGTTTGGAATTCTTCAGTGGCTCTTTTAAATTAACGATTTCTATTGCCCAAAGGAAAATAAATAAATATTTATATTCTACTACAGACCTTCTACAACGCCACAGATAAAATTTCCATTTTTTGTATTTAAATTTTCTGACACTGGTAGGTTAGAAATTTCAGCCATTTTTTCTAGAATCCGTCGTCCTCAATTCGCGGAAAGTAATGTACACAAACACAAATTGCAACAAACGTGAACAAACTGTTTATGGCTGTCTCGTCAACTTCATAGAATAAACCTTGAATGAATATTTTTTAACAGATCCTTGATTTACTCTATTTACAGAAAGGCGTCACAGTAGGCAACCAAATTTACATGTTGTTTAAATACGCGCCATCTTTTGATTATATTTTTTATGTCTTAAGTTTTTATTATGGTTTCTACTTTCATATTTACTTCTAAAATCCCTCAAAAATATTTTTGTTTGTATTTTTGTAAATCATTAATTATCAAAATTATAAAATTATCTTTTTTTTTTATTTAGCTTAGTATGAAGAAATATTTGAAAAATATTTGTTAATAATTTTTGATAATAAAATAGATAGGTACCTAAGTACTAAGTACAATTATTGAAAACAGATCTAAGAATTGTATCTTAAAAAGCTTTACAGAAATGAAATATCTACGTAGAATAAGATCAAATAAAAAAATTTGGTATATTTATTTCCGTTTTGCTCATCAGTGAAAAGCGCTTGATATTTTCTCATTTAGTGTCACTTTTATATGCGTATTTAAAAACTATAAATCAGTAACAGTTTTAGATAGGTAAGCATCTAAACTTATACAACTTTTATGATACTCTTTATTTTTTAAAATAGTTGTTCCTTCCTGCCCTTTAATATAATCAATGAAAATGTTATGTTTGCATCAATAATCTTTATTTTCTTATAATATAAGAATAATAAAAAGAAAATGTCTAGGAATTATTCAAAATATTGCACATGTTTATAACAAATATCTATAGGTATATATTTCTCGGTTGTTATTAAAATTGTAGAAATTTGTCGGCCCTGTACAACTCATGATTGACATACTGCTTTGACATACTACTTTAGCTAACTCATAAAAATAATAGAACTAATAGAAGATACAATACAATTATACCACTCACAACAGTCATGTACAATGTTTTTGCTTGTTTCTGTAAATGAATGAGAACGTATAGGCACAGTAAGCAGAAGAATTGCATTCCCATCCCACTCGTTTAATTAAGTTTGCTCATCGTAAAAATATTCTTCATTCCAATGGTATTCAACTCAGATTCATTAAATTTGAATTTGTACTAAATATTTGCCTAGAAAAGAAGAAAATCATGAATTTCAAACAAAAGAATTTCTTTACGAAGAAAACGAAACTTACAAGTTCTAGAGGAATAGGTATTTCCAAACATCTCAATTATATATGAGTCTCTTGAATTACGAAGAACACATTTTATCTGTTGATAGAGTTCCTCAAAATAAGAAAAAATATGCATATACAATGATCGTTTCAAATTTCTTTTTTAGGTACGAGCCCGTCTCGCACTATTTGTTTCAATGAATATAAATTATGTTTAGTTCCTTATTTTCATAAGAGGTTAAATAAAAATATAAGGATATAATTGGTTTTCTTCAAGTCATCAGTAACATCTAAACTCAAAATTATGCAAAGCACAATTGAGTTACGAGATAAAGTGATAAAACAACAATAATAGTAATATCTAAAACAAAGTTTTGACTGACTATCTACTGATCAGCAGTACCACTATACAGGGTGTCCCGTTTTCATGTTTCAAAATTTACCTGCAAGTTTCTTCTTCTTAGACGCCCTGTTTTCGAGATACAGTGTGTTCAAGTTTTTACTTTCCAAATGGTTTTCCTTAATTATCTTTAAATCAGCTAAAGATAAAAATGTCAAAATTTGTACACGAGTAAACATCAACTGTGCATTAAGAATAATGTGCAAACGGTTTCTCTCTCAATGTCCAGTTGATGTTCATTCGTGTACATTTTTTTCTTTAGCCGATTTAAAGATAATTAAGGAAAATCATTTGGAAAGTAATAACTTCAACACACGGCATCTCGAAAATAGGGCGTCTAGGAAAAACACGTCATATGAACTACCCCCACTATTTTCCCATGAGGAACTTGCACACAAGTTTTTTTTAAAACATGAACGGAACACCCTGTATGAAAAATATCAAACTAAATTAATTGTCACACCGCAGGGCGTTTGTTTCAAAGCTAAATAGTTATTGAATTTTTACTAGGTACGTCTGCACTACTTACTACATATAACTGTTAGTAGAGATCGGAAATGTTAAGGCGGCTGTAATGTGGTACAGGGTTGGCTGGGTTCTTTTTTATGTAATTTTATTCAAACACAAAGTGACACAACCGTTGCCTTCATATAACTGCTCTCTTTACATTATAAGAATATTTGTAAGTATTTGCATAATATTTAGTATAAAACAAAAAGGGGTAGTGTCTATTTTTCTGCACTCAACGGTTCACATGGAACTGACCATAAAAAATATGGGCGTAGTACGTAATAAAAAGTACCAGTTAACAAAATTATAATTTCTTACTCATAAGGAAAATGATCCTAGAAAATAGTTAACAGTTGTCCTAAGTATTCCACGGTTAATTGTCTCCGGGGATCGTTAAATACCCATTTCAGAAACGAAAATGATGGTTAACATTTACCGAGGTCACAGGTGCATATCTAAAATAGTCGAAGTTTTTAATATATGCTATTTTTACTAATGATGGCGAAGCATCAACTACTTCACATTTTAGTATTCCCACCATCCGCGTCATTGTACAATAACATATCTGACTGTAATCTGAAGCTTCGCATCGATCAATTTATTCGATACGTATCTAGCGGCACCCTATAATGCCTGCCCTGGCCGTACCTTTCACTGTCGTTTGTGCGTGTGTAAGTTTGACGCTTTACTTGGTCGAGTGTTTTTATGGCAATCAGTAGTCTATTGTGAGCATAGAGTGGCACACGGCTTGAACACATATTTAGCCTATTTCTGCTACTACAACGCTTATTGCCGCTTACTAGCAAAATACAGATTACTACTGTTTATTTATTTGATTGTCGCCACAAAGTTTCCAATGTCCAGTTATTAGTCACTATAAATTAAAAAATATTAAGATTTTTTTTGTGGAAATTAATAAGAAACTTGCCAACTTTTCAATTTTACACGTTATAAAACAAAATGACAATTAAAAATTACACAGGTCAACAAGGGTCAAGAAGCAGACACATTAATATACATTCCCGAAGGATTTTGGTGCGCTGAATTCGAATCTGGCCGCAGCATTGCTCTATCACGTCAGGTTTTTGAGATATCCTATCCTAAAAGTGCAAAAACACTGTTTTTCGTCATATTTGAGTTTATGTAGTAATGCCATCTATTCTTTAAAAAAAATACATATAATTTAAAAGTACAAGGCTCCCTCTTTCGAATGCCGTTGAGTTTGCTCAAAATATCTTTTTTTTTAACTCAAACTCACAAACTCCAAATTCACAAACCCACAAACCCCAAACCCACAATCCCTAAACCCACAAACCCCAATCCCACAAAACCCGAACCTACAAACTCCACGCTTACAAACCCCAAGCCCACTAACTCCAAATCCACAAACCGTATGGGTATGAAGTTTCTGAATTGCAATCGACTGCTTGATGTCTAAGGAATCCTTAGTAGATTTTCGCATATTAAGAAATTGAGAAGCTTAAAAATTTCAACATGTGATATCTCAACGAAAAAAAAAAGATATTTGAGCAAACTCAACGGCATTCGAACGAGGGAGCCTTGTACTTTTAGATTCAATGTATTAGTTTTTTGAAAAAGAATAGATGGCATTACTACATAACCTCAAATATGACGAAAAACAGTTTTTTTTGCACTTTTAGGTTAGGTTTTAGGATATCTCAAAAACCTGACGTGATAGAGCAATTCTCGGATTCAGCGCACCTAAATCCTTCGGAAATATATATTCAAGTTTCTGCTTTCAAAAAAAAGTTTAATTTTGATGGTGTGTGTTATGAGCGAATGAATGAATTGTGAACAATATTTAGGAATGAAAAAAACACACGGAGAAAAAAATAGATATTATTTATATTAAATAGTTATATACTGTATATAAGTCTATATTACTTCTTAGGGTTATAATAAAGAGTTTACTAAAACCCTTTTTCCAAAGTTATACTGTAACTCAGCCTTTTATATAAAGTTATATTTTGCTATATAATAATTGAGTTAAACTTTCTACTAGTTAATATTGTATATTATAGGTAATTGTTATATTAGGATACCAATAATACGTGAAATATTGTTTGTTACAAGAAAAAATTATCCACATTTGAAAAACAGTCGTGATTACTATTTTTTAAATATGAGGTAAAACAAATATTTAACAAAAACATCTAATTAGTAGAGATTTTGTTAATGTATTTAAAATTTTACCTCATCTGTTTTTTCACTTAAATTAATTAAATAACAAATACAATATATACGGGGTGTTACAGTTTAAAAACTTTCCTATTTTTTAAATTACAAAAAAACACCTAAGCTATTCCTTTAAGTTCTCAGGTATTTCAAATAGGACTGACTATTATGATGGACTTGTAAAAGGTTGGAATGTACTATTTTCGAGGTAAATGACAAAATGTCATGTCATGTATAGGTATTGCTAAATGCCACATCAAGTTTTATCGTAATATAATAATAATATAGTATTATACACATAGTTTTCTTGAATTGTTTTTTCAACTTGAAACAAACCAAACCTCTTCATTCATTTTGCGAATCTTACATATATCTCGAATACGAATTGTTCTCGGGCACATATTTTACGTTTCTTATTAATTTGTGATATAAATTAAAGTTTGGCTAATTGTTTTGGTTTACACCTACTTACCCACAAATTTTTAACTTACATACAATAAGGATAAACTATGAACTTTCGAAAGACCCTTTTTATTGTTATCCTGTAATATTTTTGATGAGAAATTTTTTAATAAGGTTTTATTATAAGGTTTAATTTGAATAAACTTGAATAATTCAACGGTAAGTAAATATGTTATTAATATGTATTCTCTAATAAACCAGTGCATGAAAAATATGTACTAAACTGAAGACCGTGTAAAAAGATAATAAAAAGCAAATAATACACCATTTTGCATACAAATGGGATTTTAAATCTTCATCATGTTTGGCCCATTTCTATTTATATCAAGTGCATATTAAAAGTTTTCATGAATATTCCAATGTGTACCTGCCTGCATAATGTATTCAAACTGTTCCTATCCAGGATTTCTAACTACCCCATGCCTCATTTCCCTTAATACATGCAAAACGGCAGCAGGATCAGCCGATAATTGCACAGGACGATGGCCATAAAGGAAAAATTAAACGCCTGCAATGTTTCTAGGAAAACAAAGTGCGGGATACAGAGTTATTACGGGGGTGTATAAAGAGTTAAAAGTGGGGGTAAAATGTTAGAGAAAAAGATAGAAAGCATTATAACGTTGTTTCCAACCCCTCATTTGAAGTTGCGCTGTGCCGGTTACAGCATCAACATAGGAGATTCGACAGCCAGGTGAGTAGAAAGTTTAATTATTCGAATTCAGAAATTTCGATTACGCATTGTTCTGTGAAGTTTGAAAGTTTTATTATGGCTTTTTTACGACTTGATCGACACTGAACTTCGGTTCTGCAGAACGCGGTAAAATTTGTGAATAGTTGCGCGACTGCTGTAGAAGTCGCAATATCGAAGAAAACCAGTTTTAAAGAATGAAAATAGTAGTGAGAAAAGTTAATGAGAATGAGAATAGATATTTGTTTAGATTGTTATTTATTAATAATAATAAAATAACTGGCTATTTTATTTTCGTATTAACTATCGTTCAAAATAAATTATGATTTACTTCAAAATTGCGAGTAATATTTTGCATTTTTAATGTTTATGGATTTTTTTTCACAAATTAAAAAGAAAACAATATACCCTTTTATCGAAGGCACCTTTACCTCTTTTGTCATTTATTAAAAAGTTAAATTTCAGTTTATATTTTTCACTTTGTAATAATTTAAATCAAAGTTTCGTTTACATTTACACTGTATGGTGTATTTTTTTGAGAGAAAAACTTCAAGTTAAAACAGACTGTTTATATATTTTTTTTTTGTAGATACTTATTTACTACCTGAAAAATAAAAATTTAGATATTTTCTGCTGCAGCGATCCCTATTAACTTTTTTTTTCTGAAATATTGATGCTTCATCGTATAACATTTTTTTGCGTACAATTCAGAGGTGTATTTATTTTTTTATAATAAATTTTTTTTATTTATAAATATAGTTTGTTATATATATTTCAAAAAAGATATATTTTTCCCAAATAATAAAAAAGATACTTATAGTGTCTTTTAACTAAACAAATGCGACTAAACATAATTTGTTGCCATTGTTATATATAGGGTGTTTGTAAATAAGTGCGAAATATTTTAGGGGGTGGTTGCCGGAATTATTTTGTGAAAAAAAGTTCATATAAACGTAGGTCAAAATATGCTACGTTTCCGAGATACAGTGTTTAAATTTTAATTTTTATTTATTTTTATTAATTATTTCAGTTTTAAAATATTGACTCGAAATTTGAAAAACGCTTTGGAGAGATAAATGTGCATTTTTTTGAGGTGATCCGAATATTTCTATTTGCACCAGTGACGTTCATGTGAGAATGCCACAACCTTCTTTTAATAAAAAAATGGTACGCCACTGATTTTTTCCCGTTTTGATTTTCTTTTAGAAATCCACCATTAATTCTGAATTAAATTGGTCTTTCAATTTTTTTCGTAGGATGCACCGTTTTTGAGGAAAAAAAATAAAACATACCTATTTTATTGCAAGTTGTGTATTTTTAATTTCTATTGATACATTATCTAGTAGGATGCTGTCAATATTTCTAAATAAAATACAACCATCGGATTTCGAATCAATATCTTTAAAACTCATTGAAATAATTAATTAATTTTTTTCACAAAATAACTTCGGCGACCACCCCTAAAATATTTCGCACTTATTTACAAACACCCTGTATAGGGTGTCACGTATCATTATGTACAAATTTTAAGATCTTAGTTGTAACCGAAAAAAAAAAACAAAAAAAAGTCGTAAGTCGATCCTTATGTGTATACTGAGTGCAAAAGTTTATCCCCAATGCGGCAACACATTTTTGCTTTTTTTTACAAAACTGAATTTATTTATTTATTCATAATTACAGATTTCAAATAAAGATCGATCTACCACTTTTGTGTATTATAGTCTTCACTTGAAGCTCATAAGATTTGAACATAACGATAGGAAACACCTTGTAGGTATAATTGGCTATGAAGAAAAACAAATTACTATAGCCAGTGAGATAAATAGATTACTCACAAGTTGGGCATTTTGCTTTTTCTTTAATGAAACATTGTTTACTTATTTAGTAGCACTGAAGCTAGAACTTTGATATTTATAAAAACATATTACATATTTTATGCACTACGTCTTAAATTTCTTAATTAATTGTAATTTAATGTATATAGTTTTTGTTATTGATTATTTTTTTTTCGTAATGTAATTTCTTCTACTTTTTATTATGTTTTTATGTTATTTCGTTTTATTTTTATTTTTTTTTACTTTTATTATTGAAAACTATGGTTCAATTTGGGGGTATTTTACAAAATGAAACTTTGATGCTTAAGAACAAATTTAATTAAGTTTTCTAATAAGGTATATTCATTCCAAACTTCCTGCTATCGTAATATTATCATTATTCATTATTTTACAAAAGATTGGAGATTAACGTCTAAAAAAAATCAATATGGTGTATGTTCGCATATACCAAGTCAATATGGCAAACATTAATAAATAACATTTTTTCAGAATGCTGGCTTTTTGGTTTTTAGTTATTGTGGTTTCCTTTTCAAATGCTTTTTTGGTTACATCGGTAAACGCCAAAGATGCTTGGTATGCTCCTGGATGCCACAAAGTAGGTAAGTTACATGTTTCGTACATAGCTTATTAGTTAGAAAATATTAAGTAAGTGGACTTTTTCTAAAACATGTTGCTTTACAATATGATGAAATAAGAAATTTTTAAATTTATGTGAAGAATTAGAAATGGTTAAGGTGTAAGAACAGTATATAACATACCATGCTCTCAGATGAATACATTTCTAATATTTTTCAACCGGTCATTAACTATCATAATTAGTACAAAAAAACACAAATTTCACAGGAAAGATGTGACAGTCAAAACCGCTGTTGTCCGAATATAAATTTTATTGAAGTATAAAGATCCTTGTTTTAAAAATTTTATCAGAACAGTTGCACAGCAGTAATCATAAATTATCAAAAGTGGGGAAGAAACGCATTCAATAAATTATTGCCTTCCTGTTATGCCATTAATATCTGCCGTTGGAAATTTAAAATGCCCATTAAGCTAAGTATTGATAACGATACTGGAATATATTAGTTTTATCTGGCAAAGGTGTGAACTGTGAAACCGGAAATTATTTGACTCATACATTTTGTCAGTGCCAATTCTCGATTGGGAAACAAGTGCTTTAAAAAATAATAGAAAATAGACGGAGCTTTTTAAGTTTATATATTCGAATATTTCTTACGAACAATGTATCTAAAATCAGTGGTTTTTGTGATATATTTTTGAAAAAATATAACATATCTGCAAATACTTCAGAGAATTTTTGATGAAATTTGGACTAAATATAAAGTACCTACTACTTATTTTTTAACTAATGATATTGCAGGAAACAATCATCCTGCGAACTAAAACTATACAAGATATTCTAATATTACATCAACAAAATTGTACAGATGAGATGGTTCTATGACCAAATACTTCGTTTTTAAGAGAAAGCTTGATAAATTTTACTTTGACGTTAAAAAGTATTAAACTAATTCAAATCAAGTCTAAATAATTTCCTAAAATTATCGATTGATAAATGATCTTCGACACCAGTCTAGGAGTTCCTAAAAGCAAATTTCAAAATTAATTAATAGCTATCTCTGTGATATTGCACAAAACAAGTACTCTGCGGACTAAAGTCCCGTCCATCATTGATTTACAATCACAATATCTAGTAAATAACTAATTGTATTCGTTAGTTATAGACCGGGAGATATTAGACTGACGTCTTTCTCGTTTATGCCTCTGAGAGTACTGAAAGGTAACCGAGAGACAAGTACAATAAACTAAATTTAAAAGATGGGCTGCGGGACACCTTTGTGAAAATTCAATTTTAATTTTCAAAAAAATAATGTGTACAGCGACGTATTTCTCACTTATGCCATGTTCATAAGTTGAAGAGAAGTATCGATTTTATCACAATTTTTTTTTGCCATAAGTGTCGCAAGGGACCTAAAAATGGAAAACTTTGTAAGTAAATGTGAAAAACATCTTTATTTGTTTACCAATTTCTCATTAATGCCAATTAGAAATATGGCATTATTATATTCGAAAATCTCATAAAAAACATAGGCATAAGTCCTACTAAGGACTAAAGAAAATAGGGCCTTGGAAAAGCTGCGGAAAAAGAAAATTAAATTTTCACATAGGTGTCCTGGCGGGCACATCGGTTTTTTCCATAATCTTACTTGTCTCTAATGTATCTTTCAGTACCCTAAAATTCATGAACGAGAAAAACGTCGTTGAACTTCTACGAGTATCTCCCGGTCTATTAGGATCACCAGGCATAGGTCGGTTGGTTCTCATCGGTAGGTATGTCATAAGTGATGGTAGCGACGAATGATCTTAATTGTCACAGTTACTTAGCACCAACCTCTAAATTTTGCTTTGTACCTAGGTAGTGAGCATCCACTATTATTATTTTTGTTACTACTACCATTTATCGATCGCCTTACCTATGACATACTGAGGAGAACTAATAAGTTCGAAATAAGAGTTTGTAAGTTATATCTCGCCTATATCTTTATTTAATTCTAATCCAAGTTTGTCAGTTTACGTGAAAAATCATCTGAAGTATTTAGAACCTCGAAATCTGAGGGGCTTGGTTCACTAGGGCTTTTGAGTCTAAAGTAATTCGAGAAAAAAATCTTATGTCTTTGCATGTGGAACAATGTTTTAATACTGATAATGTAATTCACATCATTTAGAACTTAGATTTCAACATATACATTCTTCTCTCCAACTCCAAACAAATTCTTAGTTTTTGTAGAAATATTATTAATATGACGATCTAAGATCACCTTGGAATCGTGTTATAATTTGATTTTTGTTTCTACTACAGTCCGAACGATATTTGTTGAGATAGAATTCCTAGAAATGAATAAGCCAATACAATTCTGGAAATACTGTAACAATTTACCGCGACAGGGGGGTGCCTTGAAATTTTCCGCTAATGTTTTCCTAGCTCGAATGTTGAATGGGTTATTCCGCAGGGGTCTTCTGGGAATTCTATCTCAACAAATATCGTACGGTTTGTAATTGCTATATGATGACATTTCCTAAAATTTGTACATATGCTATTCATCATAGAATTTTTTAATTAAAACTCCTTACATTAATTCAATTTCATAAGTTTTCCCACTTAATGAAATGTAATAAATTTTTTAAACATAATTGTGTATATAGCATCTACATATAATTTACGGTTCGTATTGCAAAAAATGGATATATTCTGCAGAGATAAACAAATTACTGTCTACAGATCTCTTTTCTCATAAACCTACATTGTTCTACATATATTAAGCAAATTTAATCATAATAATAAGAAATTACGGACAATATATTCAAAATGATTGACTGCAACAATATACAATTTTGATACTGATTAATAGCTTTCAATACAAAATTATTAAAGAAGAAAAATAATATGTACGTTTTTGTACATATTAGAAAAATAAAAAAAAATAATTATTATTAAAAATGTAGAATAACGAATAGGAGATGCCAGACATCAATACATTGCTTTAAACAAATTCTGACATGATAATTGGTAACACGATTATTATTATGAATAAATAATTATTATTAACTGACATTCAATTATATTATATAAGGGAACTATATTTCAACCCAGCTTTGGTATTTGATTGAGATTGTAATTCTTCATCATTTTCAAAATCATCGTCGTAAGTCATTCATTTGCTTTATTCTTCTTTATTCGTAATATCAATAACTTTAAAAACTCTGTTTTTAGAAGACAATTTTATTAAATGGCGAATGCGCCGGTAAATATGACTGAACTGGAAAATGTCACTTGAATACATTTTCATTTTTAAATTCTTACTGTTGTTAACAACCTTTGTTTGATTTAATAATTCTGAAAAATATGCTTCGTTTGTCTTTACTACTAAATAAATCATGTCGAAGTCTATAAGCGAAGAATTGTTTAGTTTTAGTACTGGCGACATTTGAAAAAATGTTAATACCTAAAACTAAAAAAAATGCTACTACTAATCTTTTGCTGCTAAGAACTTAGGTCTATTAAATAGATGTATTTTATTTTTAACAAATACTAATTTCCAAAATTAATTTCTACTTGACTGCATATATCTTATATCTAATGTGAGGAAAGGCGTGCCTTGTAAAAATTGAATGCATAAAAAGTCTATGGTTAATTTAGTATAATATACTTTTTCAATTAATCTCCAAGGAAACTTTTTAGAACATTATACGTACTTTATTTTTTCTTCACTTCTAATACAAATTAATGGTTCTCAATAAATATCATGTAATAAGTACGTTTGCAAGCTGCTTATCTTCTATAAAAAATAAGAAGCTGTCAGATTTAACTGTAGAAAATTTATTGTTGAAAAAAATAACCAATCAATTTTTAAAACTCACCCCAAATATACAAAATGTGTCACGTTTAAAGTAATAAACTTCAGTGTAAGAAATGGCACATTAAGCTAAGTTTTGAACACTGTTTTAATGTTTTTCTGAGATACAAGGCTCTGACTGAAATTGTAATCCGCTATAACAGTGCAACCGCTGTATATGTAGAAAGTACCTAGATAAAATGTTTTTGTACGAATATAGTACTCCTTTGGTGCAATCAGGAGTCTATTTTATTATTAAAAAGGTCCAGATATGACCCCGAACTTTTAACACTTTAAACTTAATATCACTACATAAGTTGCAAATGTTTGGAATGCTTTTTTTAGACATGTTGATGATATGTTAATCTTTAGTTAGAATTTCTTATTTGCATGAGAATGGTTGTGGTTTAATCAAATGCAACACAAGCGTCGTCGCTCGACGAACCGTATTACCTTCGGGCAAAAATTTATTGCTCTAATACCTCTTAACTCACCGAATGTCAACTTTTGATATAAAAAAAGTAAAAGGATATTTTCTATTTGCTCCTTTATTATTTCTTTTTATTGCAAGATGCTTTTGTAATTTATTTTGTATAAAATTCAGAATGTTTCAAATTTGACAAAGTTTATGAAACATTTAAAAAATATTAGCCTATGACATTTTTACTTGTAAATAATAAGAAACAACCACGAAGCTCACCATCAAATATTATGGCATTATCATATCCATTGGCCAATCACCCTTTTCGATGTCAGAAGATGATATACTGAAGATAACGTTTAAAAAACCCTAGTCCGGCTCTGGAATTTTTCGTAGGATATTAGGTTTCTAATTCGGCCCAATGGAATAGCATATTTGTATTAATTTTTTTCCAACTATATACAGGGCGATCCAGAACTTAAGATTAGTTTACCAGTACAGGAAAATGAAAAAAGTAAATACGAAACCACAAGGATCTTTATGACACAATGTTATGTGTATTTAAAAAATATATGGAAACAGTTTTTTAATAAAAGTTGCTGAGGAAAATAAACCCCTCACGTAATGAAAAAAGATATTTATAAGATTCCATATACAGCACGTCATAATTATGTCATTAGAGATACACAATATGACTACTTTGATATTAGATTGCAAAATGCTGTTTTTGCATTGGATAATCAAAATTTTTGGAGAATGCAACAGAATTTGGAAATCCAGAATCAATTTATTAAAAAAATATATTTTCGAAAAGTGCCATAAAAGTTGATTTTTGCATGATATTGTCAAAATATCAGTTTTTTGTCTACAAAACGTACATCCAGGATGTAACAGACTTATATCCAACTACGAAAATCAGTGAAATTAGATATACGAGTAAGTAGATGATAGAATCAGTTCACCAGTTTAGGTATTTGTTATTATTAACGAAATAATAAATTATATCAATAATTTATAACGAATTTAATATTAATCAGTTTAACAGGTAATCAAAGAATATTTGATAATAAAATTGTAGCTGACATATGCTCTCTCAAATAAATTCATTTTAAATGTCAACATTTTTTTCGTCACATTTTTAATAATTTTTTAACTTCGAAAAAATTTGTTTGATACTCGATTGCAAAATTATTTTGCATTCTCAAATGGAAAAGTAGCATTTCGCGATATAGCATCGAAAATAACTATATGAATTTTGGAAAAATAATTTTATTGGCATTTAAACTTAAAGAGATGCAATCTTAAACTAAATGTTGTTAACATAAGAGTATATAGATTTGCCCTTAGGGTTTCCTATTTCATCTTTAACAGTACCGTGTGTTTGAAATAGATGGCGCATTACAATTTCAGTCGACAAAAACACCCTGTACCACAGAAATGATTGACATTAATGGATAAATATGGAGTGGTTCCAAGTTGGTTAAAGTGTATTTTAAACTTACTTTAAGCCTAAGACACAGATGTGTCTAGATTTCTTATGCATTTTCTGGCAAAATGCCAGTCTCATTAGCCTAAGAATTTATAAATTGGACGCTTATATTTATCTTGCAGGTCATACGAGAAAGATCAGCATCCCCAACTGTGTGGAATTCTACATGACAACCAACGCATGCAGGGGCTACTGCGAAAGCTGGGCCGTACCATCTAGCCCCAAAACCACCCCCAGCCAACCCGTTACCTCTATCGGACAGTGTTGCAACATCATGGAAACCGAACCTGCGGAAGTCAAAGTTTTATGCGTAGACGGAATTCGGACTCTGACCTTTAAATCCGCCGTTACTTGCTCATGTTACCACTGCAAAAAGGATTAGAGTTGTATAGAACGCATTTAATACAAGTTTAAGTGTATCCTAAGGCAACTGTAAATGTTATGTACATTTTAAATATATAATTATTGTATATATTATACTGACTGACTGACTGATTGTAAACTACCTTCATTAAATTTTCTTTCTTAGAATTGTGCAGTTTCATTTCCTTTCATCTATTTTTTTTTGCTTTTAGTTTTGAAAATACTATATACTATTTTTTCAGGAAAGTCTTCCTTATAAATACAGGGTTATCCAAAAGTCCCGGTACGGCAGAAAAACTTTCGAAGAAAGCATTTTGCGAAATGTTTCAGACAAAAGTGTCAGGATTTTTCCCTGGCTATCCGACGGTGACGAAGTTTTTCTGCCGTACCGGAACTTTTGGATATGTATAAGTGTAATTTTAATAATTAAGGTAAGTGGAAAAGTATAAGATATTTAATTTCCAAAACTTGTCAGTAGTACCGCTTTTTCTACAATAAAATCAAACAAATATTTAAATAATTTGCATATTTTTAAAGCGATATTAATAATTTTAAAAAATATTTCAAATTTTTACAAATGTATTAGCCGCTTATTTTCAATATCACCGTTAGAATAGAAAGTGTCAACTACACTCATAAAAATTTTATATAAAATTACACACTAGATTTGGTTATTTTGACGCCACAGTAAGTAATGTAAAATTACATCATACAATTACAAATATGTAAAACGCCTATGTGAATTTCCACAATTTTTATCAGTGTATATTTCATACAGATATTAGTTATTGTTGTCTGACTTTATCCACATAATATACAAATCACAATAGCGGAATAATTAAATTAATTTTAATATTTGGTAATTATTCTTAATACCCAATTTTGCTTGAACTATATAGGATGTTCCTTTTAAAACTTTCCAGCCCAACATCTTGAAAACAAATATCGACATTTAAGTTATGTAGTAAATGGTGTGTCGTACTTTAGAAAGTAATCTGCATGCAAGAACCTTTAAATTCAGTGTGGTTCACCAGGACACCTTTCTTTTTTGTGATTAACGATTTTTTAAAAGTAGTTATTAAAAAAATCACTTTAGAGAATTTTTATCATAAATCTTGAAACATAAACATTAATCAGCAAGACTTAAACACCCAGTATCTCAGTTTTTGTCGATTTGTAGTGCAGAATAGTTATTGATTAAAAATTTAGGAAGCTGTAGAACTGCCTAAAGATAAATAATTATAATTGGTGGTTAATACTTGTTTATGTTATTTCCACAATTTTCAGCGTAATCTACAATGATCAGTAATCAGGAGAGCCATTAATTGGCTAATTTTAAATCCTTAGGGATTTGCAATAACTCCTATATTAAAACAGAAAATTTATAAATTAAAGTAAAATTAATTAAAGTAAATAATTAGAAATAAAAGCCTGTATAAAAATTTTTTTCATTATAAATTAATGATAAAATTAATTGTGAATAAGGTAAATCCTTGATGATGATTCAAGCTATGTATCTAATTTTTTATGAAAGCATCCCTAAAGCAACTTTCCGAAAAACAGTTTTCAAAAAAATATGGTATCAGATTATTGTTCATCAGTTGAATTATCGTAACTGATTCAACAAGTACATCTAAAACTTACTGTAGGTACACATAAAAGGAATCATTCAAATCGCACGTCGCAAGAAAATGTTAAAAGAGTGTAGTGTACTGGTATATTTGCAATATAAATAATTTTCGAAGAATTAAAGTGATATTTTACCGAAAATATTGCTATAGCATTTTCAAATGTTGTTTTAGAACAAAGGTAGTGTGGAATTTGTTTTAGATTAAGATGCGCAGGTAATAATGGAAATAAAAAGATAGGGACCTATGTTCGATTATTACAGCTATTGAGAATAACCTTTGAAATAACTTTTTTTATAATTTAAAATAGTGAAGTTTCGTTACAGTTTCATTAAAAAGAAATCTGGTACATTTTTATTACTTAATTAATAATTATTAATTATAAATTTTTAATTTAATTTGGAAAAAGTTTCAATGTGCACTTGCCCTAAAAGGAGCATTTTAAAAAAGTTGTTAGGTCTGTTAGGTGCAGTAGTTTTTCTAAAGTTGTACACAGTAAATCATTTTTTCAAAATTTAATGGTTTTCCATGTGAGCCTTATTTACCTTATATTTTTCACAGCGCTAAATAAAGTATATCAATTACCGACAGTTTGTTGGGACGATCAAGTTTATACTTAATATGCATAGACAAAAAGGAGCAAGTAAAATGATTTGTTAGCAAATATTACTCTATAAAAGTCAATATGAGTGGCAATTTATTTATTAATTACTTCTTTGTCCATGTTTATCCGCTACCAAAGCTATAAACTGCTCATAAATTGGTATCCCGCTCAAAAGGTTTTTGATGTTTCATGTACATATATTTAGTTTATAATACTGTGCAAATATAAATACACTATTAAAAATTTTTAGGGTGTATAACAGTCCCAGTTTCGTTCAACATAAATAACAGACAAGTTTTCATTTTATTAACTATTTTTTTATCTAGCTGCAGGTTTCCTGAACTTGATTTAACGTACCCAAAAATAAACTGAAAATAAATATTGTAAAGACTGTCTCAAAATTCACGCAAAAGGTAATTTTTATAGAAAATACAGGTTTTTAATTAAAAATTGTAAATTTGTTACTGATTCATCAAATATACTGTATAGGGTTATGCATGGAATAGCATATTGAGTAAATGACCTCCACGGCTTTGCTGGAACATACGCATTCTTTTGTCGAAATTTTCCATGACCTCTTTATATAAATTCGGCAAAATTTCGTTGATACAGCGCTCAATTTCCTCCTTCAAAGCGTAAGTGGTCATAGGCCTGGCCTGTTGGCATAAACTTTAGACTTCAAAAAACCCCAAGGAAAATAGCCCAACAGCATAATCTGGGCGGCCAAACGGGAAATTACAAGACTAGTAAATGAATCATGCAGTAATTGAATTGTTTCTGGGGCTATATGGCATGTGACATTATCTTGTTGAAACCATATGTTGTTTACATCAATATATTGCAATTTAGGCCGAAAAACTGGATTATCATATCGCGATAGGGAGCACCATTGACTGTTATTTTCTGACCAGCCGCATTTTCGAAGAAGAATGGTCCGATGACGCCTCCATTCCAGCCCAAAATCCGCATCAAACAGTGACACGTTGCAGATGCATTTTTTTTCTCAACAATTACTCGTAGATTTTCTGAACCCCAATTTTGTCGATTAAGGAAGTCATCAAGATGAAAATGGGTCTCATCGCTGAAGATGATTTTGTTCTAATAATCAGCATCCACTTCTTCCACAATCCATTTAACGAATTCTCGCTCTGCGTGGTCAGCAGGCTTCAGTTCTTGAGTCAAATGAACTTTGTAAGCATGGAGATGCAAAACCTTTAGTTTTTTCCGTTGGCAACACTTTGCACAAAAAATTCTTATTTATCATGTCAAAAAACAAAATAGTGCCAATTTTTTTGTTCATGCACTGACAGTTTACAAAATTATTCTGAAATTTCGAAATAAAATTCAAACATTGAACGCCCCGTATCTCTGAAACCAGCAACATTTGCATAAGGGATATTTAGCCCAATCGACTTATTTCGCCACCAGCTTCGAGATTTCCCAGGCTATTATAGACACCCTGTATATTTACTTATTGTTACCAGAAAATTCAAAACAACTTAAATATTGATCACCCCTGCGTGGAACGTACGTTCGAATGGCATTATAGCGATTTATAAGGCTTTAATGTATGCGAATGCACGTTATAGTGATTTGGAGGTATTATAAGACTCGTTGTTGCTGAAGGTGATGTTGAGCGGTCTGGTGGGTTCAACCATTAACCGCGTTTCAAGCACATCCTTATGTAATAAAAAGCGTCGTTGAGCTTTATTTTTTAATTTTTCTAAAAGTCTCAGTGGAAGTACTATGGACTATTACACCGCCATCAAGTAAATTGCACCAATGGCAACAATGTGAATAATTATAGTGATTGATAAAAATTGTTTGTAAATTCTCGGGCTTACGCGAGAAGTGATCAATAATTGTTACTTACCAATAAACGAATTAAACAATAAATTACCTGTCATAAGGAATTTCCTTTAGTGAAATTATGAAACCTGATGTATGTTTTCTTTATTGATTTCTCTTCCTACTACATCCATTAGATTAGGAACAAGGCTCTAATCAAAGAAAATAGAGAAAAAATAATGTACTATGTAGGTAGCGAATAATATTTTAGAAGTAATTTCCCCAGCTATTGATGACCGTAGAAGTGAAACTAATAAAGCTATTATTGTTGTCGTATGGAGGCATTAAAGCTCAATGATATGGGCAATAAAATGAATTACAGAGTACACATTGCATGTTAAACCACTTAAATGCTATATCTCTGAGGATGTATACATTAATCAATATTTTTTAAATACTGTGGTTAAGATATTGCCTCTAATTATTATTTATTTGACATTATTTCTTAGACTTTTATAATTTAAAAATTCGTAATAAATCACCCTTTGTTCATCGTAATATTTTTATGCAACTCTATCGTAATTTTAAATAATAAATCTGATTAACTGATTATTTATAAGGGGGGCAAAGTATACTTCGACGCTTTAGTATGAAAACATGCTATCTCAGATTTCGGTTGGAGAACATGCTATCTCAAATTTCAGTTGGAAAACATGCTATCTCAAATTAAACTTGGAAAACATGCTAACTCGGATCTTTAGGTAAAAACATGCTATCTCAGTGTTATTAGAAATTTAAGTTGGCACATTGAATGATTGAAATCGTTCATTTATAATACACTTATATAATATATTTTTCAAAAAGTAAGGAATGTTAATGTTCAGGTACACTGTTTATTTTATTTTTTTTAATCAACATTTTTCAATTAATTTTGTTAAGTTACTGTTATAAACGACAAAATTGTTAATTAAAAAAATAGAATAATATGCAGTATGATGC